AATGGAATAATATTTATCTTAAAAAGTGAATAGTTGCATTATTAATACGGAGACTAAAATTCTTTCCGGTACGTTAAAAAGTGTTTCCTACTGCATTGTTCGTAGTGTAGCATAAACCAGCTCTATGTCTAGTTTCAATTAAACAAAGCATTTATGTGCAGTCGCGTGAGGTCAACAACGCTGCTGAATACTTGTGCACTTACATAACTTTTGTGCTATTTCATTATTACTAACCTAGTAATAATCTGTACTATAATAGAAAATAATCTTAATTCTTTAATTAGGCCATTAATTGTCTAATACCTTTATACAATCACGCGAATATTGCAATAGGAACGAAGTATCAATAAAAACACGTTGTAAAAACGAGAAAAATGTATTCCCCTTTGAGAGCTATTGCCGTGTGCCTTGCGTATTGCTTCTGTTTTTAAAAAATCATAGGACAGAATTGCTATCAAAAAGTGTTATACAAAATATCTATAAAAGCGAGCTGTATCTAGAACGGCTGGACTTGAATTATTGTTAAGTAATGATATTATTTTATTTAAATAAAACACTTTAACGGTTTAAAACGCAATAATTTAGTTTAAAAAACAGAGCAACAGCACGGAACAACGCTGAGTATGCGATTAAAGTCCTGCCTGAGTCGTATTTTCTTTTTTAAATGTGTACTACTCGCGTAAAGTATAGACAGTATTTAATTATTTCATTTTTTAATTTACAGACCGAAACCATCTATTGTTTCCTCCCGCAATCGAAAACAGGCAATACGTTTAACCACTTAGCTACACATGTAGTATAATATATAATTTTATATAAGTATATTCAATTAGTATAATACAGGCGAAAAATATTTTCAGTTTCATACGAGACTTAAAAAGCATATCGTCGAATCAGAACCAGGAGTACTCGCATCTTTAACTATCGCAATTGTTTCGAAACGATGTCCACAAATACATGCGATGTACTCTTTTAGATCAACGACTGACCTATATGTTTTATAGCAGGGACCATTGAAATATTATTCGCTTAAAAGTACTCCATAGTTACAGTAATATATACGAAAACGAGAAAAAGAAATAAAAAGCACTTTGCATAAAACACTTTTAACGGTTTAAAACGCGAAATATATTTAAATAGATAACAAATTGAAAAAAAAATACGACTCGGGCAGGACTTTAACCGGCAACCTCAGCGTTGTTCCGTGCTGTAGCTCTGATTTTTTTTTAATTCATATAGTGCCATCATGTGCAATAACATGTGAAAAATATTAAAGTTTTCAAACGTTAGTAGAACTTGTTTGAAAATAATTTCAATATATAATTAAAATAGTTTTCAAAGTAGTTTTATTTACCTAATTAATTAATATTATAATATATTTTTCGTTTTAAACAGTTAGTCTTTTTTTTAACCGTGTGTAACTCGCGAAACAACAGACAATATTCAATTGTCATCGATATGAAATAATAAATATTTAATTACATAAATAACCGTATACGTTGTGTAATCTATTAATTACGAGTAAATGAAAAAAAATGTTGATTTGTACGATGTACGAGTTTCTTTTTATAGATACACTGACCGCTTGAGGCGGTACGCGTGGAGCAAATATTTTTAAAACATTTTAGACACGCAATGAAAAGTATGTTGTAGCGTTTTTAGGTAGCAGCGATACAATAGAAAAATTCAGATTTTTCTATGGTGGGCAAGTTTTTTGTACGCAGTCATATTCAGCATCATAAAGGTATATCGCGCATCCGTTTTCACTAAATATTGCAACTATTTTTGCTATTTGTGTTATTACCTGTGCTGTATCAGATGCAAAATGAAATGAAAACTTAACTTATGAAACTTTATATATATTACTAGCCTGCCAAACGTTATTTTGATTACCATAAAAACGGTTCTGGCAAGTTAATCTTAAAAGATAGACATATGCCGTCACTGGAATTTTCTGTTTCCATTTTTTGAACCAGTCGCAGCGCTTTTCAATTCATTCCAGTCGTTTCTGAGATTCTGGCGTTTAAACAAACAAAATCTGCAACTTCATCGTATACATAAACGAACCGAAAATGAAAATCGGATCAGCTGTTTAAAGCGAGCTAACCTTACAAGTAGACAAAAGCTGCCGCTTTTAAAGTTTCCCATGTCACTTCAATCGTTTACATACACATATACGGAGTAAAAATTTTCCACCCCTATTTAGCACAGCGGGATAGTTTCATAATATTAGTATAAACGTACGGTAGTAATTACAACGTCACGTCAGTTAAAGTCGGTGACGCACTAAAGTAATCCTTTGTCTCAGGACCTCTAGAGAGACTATCTCAATATCCGGGACGTACACCGACTGGCTTTTGTTGGTCTGGGTGTTGTCTGGCGCTTTATACGTGTCACTTGATTAAACTTAAAAGGAGTAGAATAAAATCTACATATGGAAGTAGGAAACCAAAGGATCGACTCTCTATACAGTATTCACCAACTATTATTTTAATAATATCTGCTCGGGAGGTAAATGTATTAATAGGTTGAAACAAATCTACGATGACGTGTAATACACGGTAGCTCAATTGGTTAGTGCAACAGCACGTTACGCGGTAATTCCTGTTCAAGTGTTGCTCGTGTCGTGAATTTTTTCAAATTATACTAGATTTTTAATTCATAATTTCTAATTTGAAAAGTTCTTTATAGAGACGGTTATTTGTATTGTTGTAACTACCTATCCTAATACTTTACCGTTTTGGCTTGAAATGTGGCCCAGTATGTTAGAGTAGGTAAAACGTAAGATGAAAGCATTATGACGAAAAAATTTTATCTAAAGTATTCATTACATTCAAAATACGAGTAGATTATTGCCTTCAACCTATATATCTATGTTATGCTAGTATATATGTGTGTGTGTGTTGTGAGTGGCTACATCCTAAAATAACTTTCCCCCCCTAAAGATACCTGAATGGTATCTCTTCTCATTGTGCGTCACTCGACGATGTGTGCGGCGATTTCTCGTTTGCTGTCTACTCGCTCCACCATCACCTCGTGGACCACGAGGCAGTAGCACTCCTGCTGTATAACATTAAGCAATTTACCACCTGGCCTAACCTGTACATTTCCAGCTTAGCTTCTGTATCTTAATAGTACGTCGGGTCAAATGTCGACATGTGAAATAAAACAAAAACCAAAAACTAATATTAAAAGAACAAAACCAACAACTATACTTAGAATTTAGAGATGTACAAATAAATTTCGCCCGTAAATGAAGACTGTATAAACATTGTTTTATTAGCCTAATGGTACACCTTTCGTTCGTCACTTAGTGGGTTATCAGGTGAGGTCGTTGAACTCTATATTTGATAAGGGCCGAGGTGAGCATTATCGGGTGACGCAATGCAGACCCGAAAATGTTCGGTAGAGCCCTACCGTTTTCAAGAGCTGAGCGATCAATACTTGCCGTGAATAGCATGCCTGTCTCTCCTTTATCTAGGAATATTGGAAACAGGGACTTTACATATTGTTATAGCAAACAGCTTTCACTTTACTTAACGCAACAAAGTTAAGTGCGTTAGTTCGTAGTTTAGAAGTTTGGATTGATATATATAATCAAGTACACATGAACAAACATATATTAACTTTTTTACGACCAAAACAGGACATTACACTAATGACATTAATCGAATTGTTGTAATATGGCTATACAATATGTATTAATATTTAATCCATCAAAATAACCGCTGCGGGCGATAACTGTTGCTCTACATAGGAAACATGCATGCATCGCTAAATTACGCACCATATCTAAATAACCACGAGAAAATAACCTTGAACAATAACATGTTCTATTTCATTATCAACTATTAAGAGTGGATGTTCGATATTTGAACGTATACCAATATTGCAAATGTTCTCTGCGTAATGATAGACGTTATTAAAAATCTGATGAGCGTATCGTTCCGAAACGATGAGCAAGAGTGATCTAAAGCTACTTAGCGGCCACCGGTAGCGATAACAAACATAATAATTCATTGTGAACCGCAACTCAGCTCTGCCACTTTTTAACGTAAAAAGAACAACAGATAATTGTACTAATTAAATCACTTCAAAATAAGAATTGTAGCAATGATGTTGTTTCGTGAAAGCTGTGCGCGAGTTCACGAAAATGATAATCGCATGACAGTACATGAATTGACGACAGTGTTCATGCATTAAAAATACGACGAGGGAGAGGAAAGACAGGAGGCTCGGCATGCCTATTCAGCCGCGAAACGTCTTATCACGATTCACTTTAAACCAATATTTATCTTACTCTATACAACCTAGCACCGCAGGCACAAAGCTAGTTTTTATTCGTGCTAAATACTATGTGTTGTTATTATTACGTGCTTTTAAAAACGTTATGGTACTGTGATAAAGTGTGGTTGGTGTGCATGTTCGGTCACCAGCTAACGAAGTTACGGGGGTAACATAAAAAAATAAATGGGGATAACATGTAAACAATATTAAACACTTGATAGAAACTGGACAAGGTCGAGTATCAAATACTTCTGTTCGGGCCATGCTTGTCATTATAATAATAGTTCTTGTAAAACGCAGACACCGATGGTTACATTGAAAGTTAAAAATTAAATGTCGTTCTTATCTCGCAAAGGCTTAGCAACAGTTTGTTATACTCGCGTTCTAAATTCAAATAATCTAGAATCAGATTCACGATGGCCCCTTCGTTTGACCCTCGTTTGAAAATCGGGACAAGCGAAGTGAATGTCTTGATAGAATCGCCAGTGTCCAGCATCCATCGAAGTCGACCAATTGACACTTGACCCCTCGACGTTTTCGTCGCAACCTTGGGACTCGTAAGTACTGGGACCTGAGTCTGACACCTGACGTCACCAATTAGATTTTTATTGTTCGAATTCGAAAGCAAAGCCAGTACTCGCGGGTCGTTTATGTATTAGTGAAGGCATCAATGTTAGCGGCATTAAATAATAAAGTATATAAAAATCCTGTACCTTGCGTCGGTTGCTGTTGCGCGATGTAGGGTGCCAGAAGACGTGTGCGTTTCTTTTCATATCCTTTTTGTGTGATATCGCCTGCAAAAATCGAGAAGAATACGCGCTATGAAAATGGAGTTTGCAATTAACAAAAACACTGCGAGTGCGTTTACATAAACACATTGAAACATAACATAAACAACTTATTTATAGTAACGTACATTCTAATCATTACCTCGCCGTAACGAGCTTAAACTGAATTTATTTTCACACTATGAATTTGCACCAACAAAATTAACAATAGGAAGTGTTTTTACACGTCACACGCATCTTCAGATAATTCTTTTAACATTGAAACTCGCGATAATGGTTCTTATAATAGCCTCGTTTTAAATACGCCAAGTAAAAAATACTATAACAACATAATTGTAGGAATTATAATCTAAGTTAGAGCACTTGAATGTACGAATGGCACAATGCACAATTAGCAACTAAAAGAATATCATTATGCAGTGTTTGTATTCGGGACACTGTATCGGAGAGACTATAAATAATAAAGTGTATAAGGATAGAAATCGCGTTTAATTATTATTGTTTTAGAAACGCGCAAACAATGTTGTTTATACATAAAGAGATGTTCATAAAGAGGTAAATGCGACGCGCTTCGGTTCGACGGAAAACAAAAAGACCATAGGATGCACTTAATTAACTGTCTCGTGAACTTAAGACAGTGCCACATGTGTCAGAAACATCTCCTATTCAATTAGTTATTATTGCGCTTGTTGAATTACTCATTTCATGTTAGTGAGTACATTGATGCTTTGATATTTGTTTCAGTTATGAAATTTACATGGAGTTTACCAATCCCAAATTACAATATTTAATACTAGTATTGCCATATGTAATGGAAATTTAAATTTTAGAACATCAATATCTTTCTATTGGTACCTTCCTAGTCTGTTCTCAAACAAATAAATTATAACAACAAATGACATAGAATTAAACAAATGACTAGGAACCAGTAGGTGTAGACTGAAGTTGTGTATTGGTTCAGCAGCCTTTTATTTATTTGTAAGTTCATAAATAACACTTCATTTTAACATCAGTAGAATAGTTAAACTAATGTTCATAAATGAGATAAAATGCATAAAATTTTCATCCTAATTGAAAATTAACCTATCAATATAGCAAAGGGGGTCTTCTATTGATTGCATAATTTATGCTACCTTTGGACCATACTAACAAAAAGACAAAATCAATACCTAGCTTAATCATTCCACCTCAATATATACCAAATATCACCTGGATTTATTCTAACTAAGGCATATAGAAAGGATAAGCTAACAGACACTTTCGCATTTCTAATATAAATGTTCCCGATAACATAAAATATTACATGGCATAAATATTACACCGATACATCGTTCTAATTAAAAGCAGCTGTATTCAAATGCAAGTTCAGTTTCCAACCCAAGGGAAATGTAGTATTTCAAAGGTAAAAATTTGTGTTACATTTACACTAGGCTACTAATAAAAAGCTAGATTTATTTAGATCTAAAGAAGAAATAAGAATAAATCAAAAAAATATATAAAGTCAGTTTTATTTATTTATTTGAAAATATCATACATGTTTAAGAAAGGTATGATATGTTATCTTAAACTAAAGTATCTGTTTATAAACATAAGCCTGTCAAGGAAAAAAATAAGTCTTCCTTTATTTTATTTGAGCTGAATTTAACAGTACTATTATAAGAAAATGTTCAATATAATAAATAGGGTACTGGATTTTTTATCTTAACATCTAATATAAACTTAAAAATAAATAGAAATTCAAATAAGTGTGATATGATGCTTAAAGTGGGATATTTTACTTAATCACAAGATACGCCAAAATGAGTTGGTTAAGTGGTGAATCAGCAAAGGTGGTAAAACAAATACTTATAGATAAGTCAATATATACAAAGCAGTAAATTGATTTTTAAGAAATAATTTTCTAGTTGGATCTTGGTCACAAACTTTTCCCCTAATTTATATTGTACAGTTAATAAGGAAAGCAATTCAAAATTAGATTAAATTTTTTTACTTAATTTCTGGGTTGTGCTAGTTGGATTCCCAGCAAACCAGAACAAAACAATGGGAAGTTTAACACTCCATTCGAAATATTAATTGTTTAATATAGCAAAGTCATTGATTTTAAATTTTTTTAAAACAAATACTTTACACATTTTACTTGACTAAATATTTTTTTATAAGACTGCGTATTACAATATGCATACATTAATAGTCAAAATTTTAGTAGAATACTTATTTGTTATAGTTCCTATAGAAAGTATAAATATTAACAAAAAATAAAAGAATAACATCCTTTTTATCAATATGTGTATTATAGAAACTTAAAAGACACAAGACACAATCATAGACATAAGCAATTTTATATTTCCTTTTTACATATTTTTGTCTATCTCAATATTCTATGCAGTATAAAACTACAAACACTTAATTAATATAAATATAAATAATTTCAAAAAGGTTTTAGTTGTTCCAGATGTTTAACACACCAACAACAATTTGATAAACAGGATCCATCCTTCAACTTTTTTAGTTATTATTGTATAAATACACGTATCACAATAACAGTCATCTTGAACGTTTGTAGCACATACAAAAATAAAGCCTAAACCAGTTCATAAGATTTCGCAAAGGCAAAATTATAAATTTAAATATTCGCAGGGCTATTAAAATTACAAATAGCAAAATAAAGTAACTACTTAATTGTATATATTGTTAGACAGCCAATATAAGTAAGAACAAAGTATAGAATATCTGATAAGAACTAATTAAAAATATTTGTTTACATTACATGAGTGCCATATTATTTCTTAATTAATAATTTATAAATGAACTTTCATTGTACAAAGGAAATACTATTTTATAGCTGTTTTCTAATCTTATCACCAACTATGATTAGTAATATTGTGAGATGTTGTGTCTGAGACATCGAATTCCTTGACTGATGATGTGTAAACTTGTAACAATTCATGCATGATAATTTGGTCAATACTAAGATACATACATCAGCGTAATGTTATCAAAACATTTTTAGATGCTTCAATACTGCAAACAACACATCAGCTGTCATGTATGTCAATAGCTAATAACACCTAAATTAAGCATAGTCAACTATAATAATAACTAAAAATGTACATTAAAGGCATTTTTAAGTAAATAATAAATTATCGATCTCTGATAAAGTGTAGATTTAACACACGCTTACCTTCAGATAATTCCAGGTCCAACTCCGCCAATTTGTCCCTTATATCATCCGGAAGGTTCGATATGTCAAGACTTTGGTAAATTAAGTCAGCCATTATGAAACACAATATACTTTTCACTCAAAATAAATAATGTTCAACGATAACACTTCAGGAGACCATCGTGACACCTGGCCATCTTGAATTACCAATACTTTGTGTCACGGGAAACAGCGATTTTAGATCCGAAGCTTTTTCTAAATAAAAGAGGCCTTACGAAGACCCACCGCTCGAGACACCGACGTTGAACTACACCACAGACTTATAAGAGAAACTGCAACACAAGCATAACATCGAAGTTGCCAGCAAAAATTCTATGTTGTCAGTCTATAATACTATTTGAGAAATATATTTCCACAGATATCTATTAAATGATCTATGGGTCGCTTTGCGTTTCTGTGTGGTTAGGGCTTCTACTATCTATAGATCACGCATTCATTGCTGCAGTGTAGCAGCAAAAAATATGATGGGAAGATTGTAAAGTTTTAAGCTGTAGAGCAATACAGATAACAGCTTATATTATTTTATTTTTAATAAATGCTTGAATTGCAGTGAATAAAAAGTAACATCAAAAGTTTTGGTAATATAAAATAATTAGTAATTTTGGACAATAGACACATCCAAAATATCTGTGCAAAAAAATTGTTATCGTAAGAGGCATATTTTGTTTTTATCTAAAGTTTTGACTAAGAATGATCTAATCTATTTTTCACATGTTATTGCAAATGAAGGCACTATATAATTAAAAAATGAATTTTTTTTCAATTTATTTTCGATTTTTAAATGATCGAATCTAAATAAATGATACTGAGATTTAAAAAAATAGTTTTTATTAAAAAAAAACGATTTTCCTAATCCTTATTTTGTTATCGGCGTACTCTCACATTTATTTGCAAAAACACGTCTTTTATTGTCTGTGCTCAGAGATACTAGAAAAGCTAGGCATCATCTGCAATTAATCGGAGAGTAATCGGAGATCTGTGCTCGGTACTCTTCGGACGTTAGTCGGTGGTTGTCGTCAATTCGTCATTACTCTTTCTCATAGTTTAGTTCAAGGAGTACCTATATTATATCAATTTATACCATTAGTGTTTTTTATAGTACGTATACGTTTAGCTACGGATAAAATGAGCAGTACATATAGTAAGCTGTTAAATTTATTCTAATAATGGCTGCCACGCTTAAAGTACAGTCTATTGGTTATGCCATGTAAAAATAGGGCGCGTTAATGTGTGATAGACTGAAAAATCAACAAGTGTTCTAGACAATTATTTCACGAATGGTGTTTTAATACTGAAGTCTCCGAGACGTTTCCTCTTTCATGTTGCCTTTTTTGGAATTTAAGTTATGGTCTACCGTTTTTATCGAATATATGTAACTAAATCATAATCTATGCTTCGTAACAAATTATACTTGGAACATATTGAGTGTAACAGGCATTAAAATAATGGATCCGAGATCGTCATCTGCTCTATTTAAAAGAGCTGAGCAACTCAAACGATGGGAGGAATCGGACACCAACAAACAATCGGCGACACCTAAACGTGCTTCTCGAATCCAGTTCTCGTCTGGTATTGTGTTTCTCGCGGCTTGCACGGCTGGTGATAAGGACGAGGTGCAGCGGTTGTTGAAATTGGGTGCTGACATCAATACGACAAATGTTGATGGTCTCACAGCTCTACACCAGGTCTGTACAACAATACTTGTTATACTGTTAAATATTAATGTCTTATATCAATGAATATAGTTTACCACACCAAATTACAAGTATCTCTAGAAGTATAAAATTTTTCTGTTATTAACATGCTATCATTAGGTATTGTAGTTAAGTGTTGGATTATAATAGAGAGGAAAAATATGTATGCTATCCTAAAGTGTGAGCTAAATATACAGAATTCTGTATATTTAGCTAACTAATTATTTAGATGCAAAGTTTAGAATTATTACCTCCCTGAAATAATCAGTTCCTAGTATTATAGTTTAGTCTCCTCTACGATTAAATTGTACTTGTTAATATCAAGAGAATTGTGGTCAGGTACGGCACAGAAGTCTGATTTACTGTATGTCTGTAAATTGAATCAATCAGCAATAACATCATGTCTTCTTAAAAACATCATAACTGGATTCTCTTTCTCTTGTTTGTTATGGATAGATTGATGCTGTGATTTTTCTTGGATATGGTAGATGAAAAGATGGGGCTTTTCCCCTTGCGCCAAACCCTAAGTGACCATACAAAACATTAAAAAAATTTTTTAATGTGTTTAAAACTAAATAAATTATAAACTATTTTTTCACCTCCCCCCTTTTTCCTTGGATCCGTGTGACATTTAGATAAGCAAGGCCTGGAAATTTAGTTTATTTGAAATTCATACCCCCCCTGTGTATCCGAAAAGAATCAGAAGAACTCTTTTTTACTCTTATCTATTTATATATCATCAGATTCTTCTACTGGATCAAGTAATCTCACAGACCCCAGTAAAACTCGTTCTGAATGTTATAAGAAATACGGTCAACAAGATAAAACTATAGACTACTAAAATCTTCCCAAGTTGTAACAAAACTTTATATTTATGAAGTGACCGTAGAAGTTGTTTCAAAAGTTATCACAAATTTTCGGTTTTATGTTCAGTTGCTATTATTATTTTTTTTTTTAAATCCAAAAGTATAAATGGTTTTATTGATTACTTGTCTCCTAACTATAAAATAATTAACTTAAATTAAAAGTATATAAAACTCTTGTAAAGGCACCTATACCCAGAAAATTTACATAAAAAAGTGACAGACTAGGGCTTTAATTCTTGTATAATAAATATATAGGAAACATACTCCTAAAGGAAACACAACGCAATCACTAAATACAAAAATTTGTATACTTCAGAATTCACAAAAATATACACATGGCATCTACAGTATTATGTTCTTCATTTATGCTGACATATGAGGTTCAGAGGACTGTTTGTTTTATCTTCTTTTGCATACTTTAGTTATTCAAAGTATGCAAAAGAAGATAAAACATGCAAGAGAAGTTTAGAATTACGCAGACGTTGCAATAATTAGCACGTAGGGATATCTTGCGGTCATTTTAAGTTTCGTCCATTGAATATAAAATTCCTAGTAATAATTGCTATTGGCTATTGACTTGTTAGAAATGAGTTACTCTTAATTTATATGAAAACATATTTATGACTGATCATGATATATTTTTTTTTTATTTATTGCTTTTGGTATTAAATATAAAAGATTATTTTCCACACATATACAAAAATCTAAATAAAAACATAAACCATAAAAAGAAAATGGGCAGGATCTTGACTATAAGCCCTGTGTGATAGTATATTCTCCGTTCCTCCTAAACTAAGCTTAAACTTTTAAATAAGTTGTGCTAAAGTAATACTAATAGCATTCCAATTTTCTGACAAGCATTTATTGTACCCTTTAGATCTTAAGGCTTTTTAACTAGTACATAAACAAATATTTGAATTGGTTAAAAATAGGTTTACACAGTAGGACAATTAAAGTATACTAAATTAGGATTTAGATTTTTGTTAAATAATGACAGCATTTATTATTATTATAAATCTATAAATATATCTATTGTAAACTAATATTTCTACAGAAACAAATTTGTGAATTACACAATATAATAAAAGTCAAATTATGCAACTTCACATGCAGTATTTTTATTATGTAAAATTTTTTAAAATTGATGTTTGTCCTTTCTCTTTACATGAAAAATTTATTTATTATTATAATGTAAAAGTATAATCTTTTAAAACAATTTAATTTTCTGTTTAATAGTTTTATCATCAATGACTGAAATTTTGCTGATGATTATGAATACATGCTACCGGGAACATTCTTATTTTATCATGTTTGTAGTGATAGTGCATCAATTTCTGCTTAAATTAATCGTTACTTTTCTTTAAAATGGAGTCAGATCAAACTAAAAGACAGACAATAACTCTATAGTTCACATTAAATTAGGTTTTATTTTTATTTCAATGAAGGTTTCTTGCTTTTATTCATGCAAAAAAATATTATCGATCAAATATACTTAATTTTATTATACATTTCTTATATTACATTAGACAACATGGATGTGATTTATTACTAACTAGCTGTGTCAGCGACTACGTCCGCGTAGAATAGTTAGTTTGGGCATCCAAATTTGTTTTTGCAAACTCCTCTTTATCTTGATAAATTTAAACTGTTATCCGACATCGACATCGGACGCGTCCCGTCGCTCGCAACCCGTCGTTCGGGTCTCGTCGTTCTTGCAGGTTAATCTTCAAAGATAGACATATAGTGTCGCGAACATTCTTTTAGATCGTTTAAAAAGGAATAATTCTTTGATACATATCTTTTGGGTATCTTAAACCGTTTTCGCAGCGTACGCAACGGAAACCCACAGTGGTGAAATTTTTCCCCCGTTTTTTTTCACATTTCCCGCTGCTTCTTCGCTCCTATTAGTCACTGCGCGATGTTTTATTGCCTGTAGCCCTTCTCGATAAATGTTCTAACTAACATAATAACTATTTCGATTGCGCATTCAAACAAACAAAATCTTCAGCTTTATATATTAGTATAGATTAAAAACAAGTACTTTTTCTATCTCAATAAGTATATATTTTAAAATAAAATATAAATCCTGTAAAATAAAAATACCTATTTAAGTGTCTCAAAAAATCTAAATAATAACTTTTTACCATATTTTCTAATATTTACACCATATAATTTATTTTCCACATTGTTTGTACAAAATCACACAACTATCTGTGCAGCGCTCCTAGTATCATATAGAAATACAATTACATTTTTTTCATTTTTTTTTAAGTGCCTTAGTTAAACTTTTCTTTCTTATCTAGCATGTAACGTACAGCTAGCTATATGTAAAATCAATATCTGTGTCAGCGGCTTCGAATTTTTTTTTGCAAACACGTCAGTCGCATCCCGTCGTTCTTGCAAGTTAACCTTAATAGACAGACATATATACTGTCGCAGACATTTTATAGGTTATTTATAGGGGAATCCTTCCTTCACATATTTTTTGGGTATTTTTAACCGCTTTTGCAGCATACGCAACCGATACAGAAATAATTTTTCAATTCAAACTAGTAGTTCCAGAGATTAGGACGTTTGAACAAGCAAACAAACTCTTCAGCTTTTTTATATTAGTATAGTTTTATATCCAGGTTTAGTTGTAATTTAGAACTACATAATAATAATAACCGTGTTCCGTCATTTTAGCATAGCGCCTTTGAGAATGCGGCACTGCTTGTCACGTGTGTTAGGTTTAGCACTCCGAATAACTCCCGATTGTTTCGGCCGACCACTAAACGCCACCGTTCCGAATTTAGAATCTGACAGCGTCCATGCGAACGTCCGAAATTTTAACTGCCTGGAAAATAAACTGTTACAATTTTGTTTTTTTGCTTTACCACATGCCGATTCACTATAATTAATAGATATTTAAGTATAGAATTAATTGTTTCATCCATCTTTAGCTACAGATCTAAATTTTTATATTGTCTATGGAGTATAATACTCTTTTTCTTTAAGTATTTTGTACAAAAAATGTAAACTAATATTGCTTTGTAATAATACGTAGTTCTTAATTTTTAATACTTTTCAATATTTTTGTAAGAATAATTATTTTTATTATTTATACTAAAATCTTCAAGTAACTAAATGACTAGTGAACACATTTTCCGCCTTTTAAAAATTATTCCTGTACACAACCATTGCTCACGTCATATGACGCATTTGAATACGATATTTTAGTGAACCGAGTTGCATAACGAAAACCATGCCAGCAGTTCCGAAAGTAACACTTACATCTCCCATGTACATTAAACCATTCCATGCATTAATATTAAATGTATATTCGATGACTACCGCAAAACAAAGCTTTTATATATTATTCGTAGATAACAGATATCCAGTCTAGACGAAAAAGCTGATTTAAACATATTTGAAGTTACTTCAAAATTAAAATATGTTTTCATAGTTTACAGTCCTCCAAATTATAATCTCTGCATTTTCTAAAAATCTTTGGCGATTTTCGTAGTTTGCTACTCATGTTAAAACGCTGTAACATACGACGTATGGAAAATTTTCTTACTTATATTAAATAAGCAGACGAAAATACAATATTTCCAATATTACATATTCGTCCGGATCAAGAAACATCACCTACAGTTGCTATAGCCGTAACGTGTAATCGCGTTTCGGAGTCAGTCAGTGAAATTCTGAATATCCAAAGCCAAGATAGGTCGGCATCTTCCTTAGATTGATTGTCTGTTCTCAATTGTCGTAAAAAACCAATGAGCTTGTTTGTAACAGTTAGATATAGATTCACCTATTGACACCTCGCAATCGGACCCTAAGACCTGCCAAAATATTTCTTCCATCCACACCTTGTCGTTAGATTTAAAATAATTTATATTCAAGACTGATACTATAATAGAAGGTTAAGTATTAAATTAAATTATCATCTTTATATATATATTTCAAGGACCACGACTTGCGGTCTCCCTATATATATATAACTTACGTTTAATTTGCACATATTGTCGGATCTTTATAAAACTAACTCACCCAGATATAACAATTCCTCTGTTATATCGACCTCTGTGGCTGTATGGCATTGCGTCAAGCACGAAAGTTGAGGTCGAAAAAAGGCTTTCGATCGGGCTGGGCACAAAAGTTATATCAACCTGTCTGTCAATGTATTCGCCGATATTAATTGTCTTCGTCTCATTTCCGCCCTACGAAGGGAGTTTTCATATCACTATGTTTTATAACATGAGCACACATATACCTAGGTACATATTGATATATTTTTTTATATATGTACATTTGATATTGCATAATAATTTGAGTTTATGTATTGATACTAGCTGTCCCGAGTTACCATTAGTTTATCTCAAGCTGACATTCAAATAATTTGAACATTTCTCCATTGAACTCGATTTAGCCGTTTATAGAGCAGCTGTGATGTAACCTTAAAGACATATGCTGGCCTATCTAAAGGGAAATGTTTTTTGCAACTCTGATTCTTTGCAAAAGTTTTCGATATTGGCGCGGTCAACGCGGTTTTACATACTAGAGGATTCGTTCGAGTATGTATGTGTTTTTATTGCGTTAACCTAAAACTGCTAGAGTTCGGCCTCTGAGCAAAGTCGGGATAGTGTGTCAATTACCTATTGCGTCATCGGATTTATAATTATTATGGTTGGATGCCGCTCGGGCTGGCGCTGTCTGGCTTTGAGGAACAAATGGCTCGCGGGCGTGTCTTGCTCTAATCTTCCCAGTATCATTTATAATAGCAATGAAATAAGGTTTATTAATACATCTCGGGCAGCGTTATCGTTGAACTAAGGCAGAATTGATTATCGCATTCGATTTGTTTTCTATTCGAATTTAGTGTTGGTTATTTAAATAAGGAATACTACTTCTCTTCCATACTTAGGTGGATGTTTAATATAAGTCACAAAAAATATATGTTACCACATTTCCACTAAGATAAGTTAATTTTACGCCTAATATCAATGGTATTGTTATCTATTTTTTTTTATAGATATAGGGAGACAGACAAGCGTGGGTTTCATTGATGGTCGGTGATATACCCCAAGCCTATAGCATCTAAAAAAGATGGGCCGTCGACCTATTTTGGCTTTGGATATTTGGTAATCAGACAGAAACCGACACGTGATTAAGCTTCACGGCTTTTCTTGACCCGGACTGAATTATATTATTCCTACCACCAATTTAGTATCCAGATTTCCAGAAAAAGTCCAACGTGATTCAGAAAAATTATAAATTGAAAATTAGAAACATGTTAGACCCTATAATTTAAAAATCGAAAATAAATTGAAAAAAATTTCGACTCGGGCAGGACTTGAACCGGCATCGTCAGCGTTCCGTGCTGTTGCTCTACCAATTGAGCTACCGAGTCCTACACCTCATCGTCGAATTTTTTCAACTTATTGATACATGCACCTCTCGCGCAATGTAATTTCAACCTTAACACTTGCGTATTAAGGTTCAATGTCTTATGTTTTGCAGCTTAAGAAATCATTGAAGATGAAATTACAAAGTTATAACGTTTGAAAACATTAATATTTTTAACATGTTATTGCACATGAAGGCACTATATAATTTAAAAAAATACCATTAGACCAACGAGCCCGTCAAATCTATAAATAACTCGCTAAAGTGTTTTTTTAAAGTAAAAGTTTGAATTAGAAACTTAACGTCAATAATAATCAATAATATAATTATTACTTTTGGGTAATTGTGTAACGGGATTACATTTTATTAATATAAATCGCCTTTTGTTACTAATAAGTAATAATATTCATCATATCACAATTTGAGTTATTATTTTGGCAGCGTTTGATCGCGGATGCGTTTTGTGTTCATTGCGCGGCGCAAGTTGTTTTATAATAGTATTTATAGTACACGATACACATCTCATTAGATAGATACTGAAAATTAGGTCGATGACTCCGTGAACTTCTCGTGTTTTTAACTTGCTCCTATTCTTTCTTATCACAGTTTTTAAGATCGTTGGCGTGAAATATCTTCGACAAATCGTTTTTCGCTAAACAAACAAATTTTCATGTCAAATAAAAATGTAGGCAGGTGACCTTGTGAGTTAGGAGAATAGAACGATCGGTGATGCCTAATGGTTCAACAATTTCGAATCTAACTAATGCCCGACGATAGCTGTTGGCAACAACGCTAACGTCCTAATTTCGTTGCTTCGAACTGAACTAAAAATTAGGCGCTGTCGTTGACCCATCCAAATATTCTATGGAACACCGTGCACCGCTTAATCTAGCGACATACAAATTTGAAGGTAAAGATTCCGAGGTCACGTTGGGACAGTGGAGAGATTCGTTGATATAAGTTACGTCATAGGCTGCACACGCGCCTCGTATGTTTTATTTTAGTGTTAATTGTAGACGTAGGAACGAACACTGACTGACAACGATGCCGGCTGTTGCTTGGCATGGGACGTCGAGTTAAATGAATATATACCGTTCGATCGTTTTTTGTCAATATAAAACAGATTGCTTTTCGACTGTTGCTAGGTAATAGTTTAAAAATAATCGCGAGAATTTCTACGTTTCTCTAGCTTTGGACGAAGGAAAATTTCCGTAAACTAGAATACGCTCAGAAATATATCAATGCATGTATTCTTGTCAGTACCAAGAACGACCATTAAATTATTAATTCAGGGGCGATCAACACCGCTTTCACTCATGTTCCTATGTATTCATATTTATTTGTTCTTTAGCATAGTTTAAGTCTTTAAGATATTGTTTCTTAAATTGAATACCTACTGTTTTATACTAAAATTAATTGTATGTTCAATTGATCCTTGCAAACTGTACCGATGACTTTTGGTTTTAGTGGTAAACGTTGTAATTTAAGAATTTATAATTATTAACATTGATATATAGACATTTAATATTTACATAAGGTGATTCTATAGCTTTACCTAGGATAGGAGACACAACATTGCGTGAACAAATTTAACTTTATACTAGTGTAAAACATTTTGCTTTGCGTTGCGATAATTTCTTAAGCTTGTGTTAAAACTTGTCGTTTATTTAAATCAGTCAATTTTTACTTAAAGTTTAGATTTTTTTACCACACGTAGAACCCACTCAGTATTAATATTATGTTGCCATTTTTTTTGGACCACTACCTACCATTCGTGTTGACACCTCACTCTGGTCACTTGCCAATGCTTATCCGCCCTTGAAACACGTTGGCTCAACTTCGAGCACACAGTTGCCTTGTTAGACGAAATTATCGATGTCTGCACTAAATAATAACTCAATATCAAAATGTATATATAAAATGAGTGAGTGTAACAGGTTTATGTGTTTTCAAACATCGATTATTTTTCACATGTTATTGTGCGCATGCATTATAAAACAAAACAAAATATTTATCACAAATGGGAATAGAACCGGCATCCAATTAATTCGAACTGCTGCTCTAACAGCTACCGTGTCTCGTCTTTACGTCTTTTATTATTTTATTTCTACAATATCATGTAACTCGCGCGCAATATAATTTTAAACTTAAAATAAATTGGTTAGAGAAGCCGCACGAATTGCTGTTTGTGCATTTTAATTTTTTTTATAATAACATTTTAATCTTGCACGGAAACTAGTCCAATAGTACTTAAGGTAATAAGTGAGAAATTTAATTGTGGACGCTGTGCGCTTCTTGTATATTTATATGATGCTTATAATTTTACCGCAGAATAGATACAGCTAGTGCTCGCGTTTACAGTCAGGCCATGCGCCAGCGAACGTGGCACTGACCCTGCAGAGGTTCCGTACTGTTGCACAATGGTCACTTGCAATGTTTCAACGCTTAGCTTGTATGGAAACTTTTGACAAGCTTCTATAAAGAACACTTAAATTATGTACCTTAATTGTATTTGATTTATTGTACCAGCTAAGCGCTTGTAGCTACGTTCGGAAGGGTTCGGAATCGTTACAGTTAGGCTGGACATTGAATAGCCCCACGTTGGGAAACGAGATTTCACATTTTTAACTGCTTGCCAAAGAGAAACTAAAGCCTATGTTTTTGTAATATTTAATTCTCATATATTGTAGTTACCAATTTCTATTTAATAACGTACAATTTTGCGAATGTTTTCCGCATATACATAATGTCCGCATAGCGATTGACCTATCTATAACCCGTTCCATCTGAATATTATTGCTTTTTTGTAATCAAGTCTGATCTTCTTTCGAATTAATAACCATCGTAGACATTCTATTAATTATTGAAGCGAGACTTGCACGAGATCGATGCATTAATTATCTTAATTGAAGACGATTTTCACTTCCGATCGATAGTTGTTTCGTACACGGTTGTAACAAAAACGGCTAAAATTATATTGTCATTATTAAAATAACTACGCCCACGATTCCGTCTGCGCTTCTATGCGTATTTTAATACACGTGAGCCAGTAAAGATGTTCATCAAATTCCGTACGTTATCTGTCTTGCGAATTTAAAAAATGAACAGTTTAAATTTTACTGAATTATCGCACGATGTATGAAATTTTAGTTTTTCCTTGCCTTCCTTCTTCACACTGATCGACCCGCTATCATCCCTCTTTTGAATTGGCCCAGTGGCGCGTCTCGCTATAACATATCCTCAAAGAAAAATACAGTATTAAATAATTTTTGGCATTTTCAGGCATGTATTGACGACAACTTCGATATGGTCCAGTTTTTAGTGGAGAACGGAGCTGATGTCAACCGCGGAGACAATGAGGGCTGGACCCCGCTACACGCGACAGCCTCCTGTGGTTTCGTCAGTATTGCAAGGTAGTTTCCTTCGTATTTGAGTAACATTGCATCTCTATATGGTATATGAAATGTATAACCTCAAGTCGTACATTTTGAAATAACGTGGCACCAGAGATGCACTTAATGATAATAAAGATACAAATTCAGGACGCCGTTTGGTGTGCACGAATTTTGTAATAATAAAGTCTTTTACGTACTTGAAAGCACCCTAGAAACCTTAACCTTCAGCGTTTCACATTGCAGAAGTATTTGTATACAAGTGAGCCGTCGAAATGTTTTCAACATAATTTAAAAATCACTAATTGTGTTCGACTCGGTCAGTTGGACCGCTATAAGATTTTAAGGGATTCAACATTTCATTAAATCAACTCGGGTGGGTTAAGCACGTGGTCAGTCTGACGTCACATGATATTTAAATGAAAAGCACTGTATTAACTTTCTTGGAGCGGCGTAATTTGAATCACTGACTTAAGTTAATCACAAGTATTCTTTCTGCCTTATTAGACAAAATCTTCCGTTCAAATCTTATGCTTCGTATTAATATGTTATAATATAGAACGACACATACCTGTACTAAATTGTGGCTGCTAGAGGCAGAGGGGCCTAATAACAAAAAACATGATTTTCGATAATGAGTTAAATAAATAAAAAAGCGCAATTCACTCAGGCGAAAATGAATTTGCATTATTATTTTAGATCTATGTTAACAATTTTCGTTCACTGTGCTCGTGTAGATTAACATTTTTAGATTGTAATAATATAAATAAGTCAAGTCATAATAAATCATATTCTATTATATATTATATATAAGTCAAATCATATTGCAGTTAGGCTACTCGGCCCCTAGCGGCCTCAATTTATGTAGGTACGTGTTCTTATTTTCCTGGACCTCCCTTATTTCGTTTTATCGCAAAAAAATAATTTAAGTGACGATGTTCAAATGAATCGTTCTCGCTAATTTTTATTTGTTTTATGTTCTATGTTTAATAGATAGAAAATTACACCATTAGACAAAATGAGGGTTAATTTGTGGCCTGTGCGCTAATGAGAAATTTATTTATTCTCGAAACGGGAATTCGAGTTAAATGAACAAACAATTAAATGAAACATGGCAAAATCAATAACAATTTACTTGTAATGCTCCTTCAAACACGTACTTAGACTATTGTTTCGTTGGCCTCGTTGGTATTTAGATAAAATAGAATTGATATGTCTGTAAGTGTTCTTCAGAATGTTGGATTTTTCGTTTGCTGTGTCTTGTCTTGTTTGAATTTATCTTCAGTAATACTTTAATAGGTATTATAATTCTAAATTAAAATTATATTTGTCTTTATAAAACAATAATGTAATAACAAGAAAAAAGTATTAATGTGTTCCTATTAGGAAATGCTTTTGTTCATGTTTTAAAACCAAATAGCGTTTTTACTTTCATGTTCGGCAATTAAAGTTTGTGATTTGAAGCGATTTATAGTTCAAATACTTCTTAAATTCAGAAATATGTTTATTTCATAAGTATACGATAAATGTTTCACATTTTCTTTTACGTATATTACACGTGGAGCATCCAAAATCTTTAAATGACTATTGCTTATTGTTCTGAAATCGTATTTCAGTAAAACAAACTATAATTGCTTAAACGTAATATATTTAAATAAAACACTTTAACGGTTTAAAACGCGATATATTAGTTAAACTTATTTGAAAATGATTTTTAACTTCGGCCTGACGTTTCGGCTGCTGCTGTACTACTCGCGTAAACTATAGACAGTATCTAAACGTAATATACTTTAAATTATGTAGTTATTTATAGCAAAATATAGTTATCTCTATTATTTAAAACTACTTAATTTTTTTCTTCATTAGTAGCGAAAAATGGTGAAGTGTGGAGCGGAAGCTCTGGAGGAGCTATTGTCTAAAAGTGCGGATGAAGCCAATTAATTATAGAACCGTCACCTATCTAGAAAGTGGATACCCTCTTCATATTTTTTATTTTATTAAAAAGCTTATCTTAACGTCCGTACTGAAATTTTAATAGTTTAAAGTTACTGGTTTGTTAATTTTATTTTTTGTGATACAAAAACAAATGACCAAGCAATTGAGATAACAAATTGAGTTTGCAGGACTTAAAATAACCTATGCTTCTTCCGTAAACTATAAAAGAAAAACACTTATTGGTTTTGTTATCGGCGTGACAGATGTATAATAAATGTAATTAATTTAGAACACTTTCAACAATTTAAACCTTAAAATATATTACTTAATTTAAGTACTTAAGTAACTTTGAATATCGGGTCGCAGCGGGTTGATATTAAAAGTGTTGAATTTGAATTTGTACTACTCGCGAAAACTATAGCACATACGTAAATAATCTTTCTATTTTTAATAATATTAATATCAATGTTTTTTTGTTTTAGATATCTCCTGGAAAACGGCGCAGACGTAGCTGCCGTCAACTACGATGGTGAACTCGCCGTGGACATTGCGGAGAGTGATGAGATGGAAGATTTACTACAGAAAGCTATTGATGAGAAAGGTATATTCTTATAAATCAATCTAATGCAATACACATGTAGATTAAAATCCACTTTTATTTATTTATCTTCTTCGTTACCGTAATAACGGCTATGGAACGCTGACGATGCCGTTTCAAATCCTGCCCGAGTCGAAAATGTTTTAATTTTATTTCGATTTTTAAACTTAGAAAAAGTTACACATATTCCTCGGTGTCTGGAATTTTTCTAAGATAGCCTTGGCGGAACTCGGTAAACCTTATAGAAACAAAATATCACACACATGAAAGATCAAACTTGTGCTCAGCTAGAAAAAACCTTTTGATAGGGTGTTTGTTAGGTATTTAAATTTTATCATTAATTCAATGTAATATAACTTGATTGCAGGTATAGATTGTGAAAAGTCGCGCACCGCTGAAGTCACTAAACTAAGAAATGATACGAAGAATTGGGCGGCAAATGGCTATAGTGAAGTTCGGGATCTTAAAACTGGTGGCACGCCGTTGCATGTGGCAGCTGCCAAGGGCTACATCGATGTAAGTATAAGGTTTTATGCTGCTTAACAAGTGTTTAACTATTTCTAATGGGGATCCTGTATAATTATTACTAGTTCCGGGGAAATCACATAACACTAATAGTAAAGATTGCAAATGTATATATTTTACATGCTTATTCGTTTGTATATATTGTAAACCATCTAGTATATTTTTAATGTACATATAAAAGCCTTCATCTTGAACGACTGATTTACTGATGTGTATTCCTCCATACCAAAAAACCTAAAGTCCTTTCAACAAATGCATATATCAAAACATAAAAAGACTTGGCCAAGTTAAGGGAAGGCAAACGATTTATAAAATAAGTACGGATGTTCGTTTCAAGGTGGCAAAGACACTATTAGAAGATTGTAATGTGGAGCCCGATTGCGTGGACTACGAAGGTTGGACGCCGTTGCACGCCGCTGCTCTCTGGGGACAGAAAGAAGCCGCTGCAATATTACTTAAGTTCGGCGCCGACCCCAACGTGAAAAACTTTTCAGTGAGTATAGGCAGAATACCAATATTTGATACGGGCGTCGTGATTAAATGAGTATTATGCAGAATGACCAAAGGCGATGGGCAAAGTGATAAATTATCACTTTGACCGGTCATTATTCATAATGCCAGTGGTCTGTATAATAAGTCAGTATTTACGGTAGCTGTCTCATTCTGTTGTACTAAATAGAAATATCTGTTTCAAGGGCCAGACTTGCATGGATCTAGTGGACCCCAGTATAGCAGCCTGGCTCGAAGAAGCCTCACTGAAGGCTCCACGTCGCGTTAACAACAACAACAAACGAAAGCGGAGCCCACCAAGACACGACGTCAAACGCGTTGAACTGCAAATCACTGGTCAACCAGATAACAACATTATCAACGGTCAGTATATAAGTCTATATTTTAACGTTGCACCGCCATCATGAGCATTTGCCCAGTTCTACTAATGTCCTTATAGTGTTTTCACTGCGGAGTGATGTGCGTCACAGGTTGAAATTTTCTTTTTTTTTTCATTATAAATTGTGTCTATGTGGCCGGTTATATTTTTTTTTAACGCACTTGGAAATTTGAGCATAATTTTAATTTCTTTGAGATAAATTGAACTTGTACTGGTCGAGCAGCGGGCAATAGTTGTATGAAAAATCCATATCTGCTGTGTTCAGAGCTAAATAAATTAATAAGTAAAATCATATTTGTCGTGTTAAAAAATGGAACGATCTTCTACTTTGCTACACGGCAACCAAAGAGGTAATTTGTTAAAGGTTTAACTTAAATTTGAAACTGGCCATGCACATAAAGCTATTTAGTAAAGAAAATGATTTTTTTTCGTTTTACCTTACTTATATTTGTGTGATGATAGAGAATTAATACAATAAAAAAAATCTATCTTTATTACTATTTTGACGTCCTCCATATAAAATTTATCATCAAGCCATCATTACTAGTCCCAATATAGAAAATAAATCAGGAATATATAATTGATAACATTATGTTAACAAGTTATTGATCTTTGACCCCACGCTTTGAGAAATTAGATGGAAGTACGATTAAATTAATTCATTTGTAAAAATCATTTCAAGTAAGTAGCTGCTACATCGTCATTATGCTATAAATGAAAAGTAGAGAGACATAAACTCGTAGACCCCCGTTGTATTGTACAAAGGTTTGCAACAAACTGCAATCATAATTAGAAATGTTTAAAATTTTGTTTACTTAAATCCTGACCTGTCATGCATATCGCACACGGAAAATACTACAGTAGTTTATCCACGCTACTTTACACATTGCTGAATAATTTTCATAATTAGTGAAATTGGGCCGTGTTATAACTCATACACCATCGTATCATGGAAACGCAGAAAAACCGCCGGCGGGTACTGATATATTAAAGATGTCTGAGGGCAAACCGCCGAAAATCCGCGCCCAGTCGCCAGACACTACCGAGAAATCCGAGAACTCAACGGCCAACGAATCGCCTTCGTGGCGTCGGTCCACGTCGTTCCGTAGCAGGCCGCACGACAATCGTAAGTAGAACTAAACTCATCACCATCACTAAATAAAGGGTACTAACTCTATCATTCCCGAGGGGACGATAGAAATACTTGGACTTGTGAGAAAATTATTTTCCACAACTTTTGATTATTTAAAACAATTAAAAAAACATATTTAAATAATGGATTAATTTATAACGCTTTGTAAAATTTCTAGGCATTTAATTTGTATTATTTCGATTTGTTCGTCTAGTTTTGAAAAAGGTCCGTCGAGTGTAACTTATAATTTTGGAATTTTATGTTTGTTAGACTGAGCTAATGAAAATAATGTCTGTTACACATCTAAGCTTTAAAAAGCGTTATCACTATATTTTTATCGATTAAAAATTCCCTACAACTACAATAACATAGTTGAATATTTGACTTGTATTCAAAGAATTTCACATAAAACAATGTAGACAAAGTCATCACAAACACAATTGTTTCTTCTTCCAGGTGAAAATAAACCCGCCAATAACAACGTGGACAATGACACGATTCTAAGAAGGACGCATAGTTTCGAAAATGATAAGACGTAAGTCAATCATAGCAAGCCACACATTGTTTGTATTTTTCTGTCAATTTGCTTTCGCTTCCCTCTATAGTCGGCTAAGAAAATCCTATCATCGTTCTAAATGTAAAAGCTACTGCATTTTAGCCTTACACTTACTATTCTGTCCTTTAAAAAGCGAAGATAGTCGTTATAGCACAACAACGAGCCGAGTTGGGTTTAACGTCCCTTTCTTATATAAGAAAGGAGATCTGTGCCCAACGAACTATTCTTATGTTTCTTTCTTATGTTATTCAAATATTGATGGATAAATTTTGAGACTGAGTTTAAATATCGATTTTCTTGACCGTCTCTTACATCTGATTGGCTTGCAAATTCATAGAACAGAGTCATTTAATTTAGCTGCTCTGTATTGGTCTTCTAACTTTTGCTTGATTGTTATTAATACTAAGTATCTGATTCAAATTTAAATATGCATCATCTTATATGAGAAAGGAGATCTGTGCCCAACGAACTATTGTTATGTTCTCTTTCTTATGTTATTCAAATATTGATGGATAAATTTTGAGACTGAGTTTAAATATCGATTTTCTTGACCGTCTCTTACATCTGATTGGCTTGCAAATTCATAGAACAGAGTCATTTAATTTAGCTGCTCTGTATTGGTCTTCTAACTTTTGCTTGATTGTTATTAATACTAAGTATCTGATCTCAAATTGTAAATATGCATCATCTTATTTTGTAATTATGTTAAATCTCATTATAGCATTTCAATAACTTGCTCATATTGTAAGTCGCTAGGTGCTATGTAACAAGTGAAAGACACGAATCTTGTTATTTAATTTAGAATCAAATGTATCGGCGCTTTGAGAAGTTATCTCACCCTAATGAAGTACAAATAAAATTACAACTAAATTTTACACGTTGTTTTTACTAGAAGTAAATTCGCTACGTTTTTTTCTATTAAACGGAGTTCATTGCAAACTTAACCGACGCTAACTGCTTATCCTAAGAAAAATTACCACTACCTATGTGCACAGCTAACTGCGGTTTTAAATCACGATTCTTGCCGTATCTCACAATCCGCATGCTGCAGAAACACTGAACTGAACACCATTGTCATAACGCAGAAAAACCTCATCAATCAGAAGCTTATCTTATCCCGGAGTGTGAGTGAGTCTTCTACAATAAGAATCGAACGATTACTTGAGGCAGTCACTGGGAGAGGTCCAAGAAAATTTAACAGCAATAACCTCAAGACGCTGTGGTACAGCTGAACTTTAAGAAAAGCTTATCATTTTTTATCTTTTGATTATCATGTTTGTATAGCGGCTCATAGACGATCTATATTATAGTGTCCCGGGGTGTACAATAAAATTGATCGTGTGTAGACGACATTGAAGCGTGTGTCCGTCAAAGTATTGTGCAATAAAAATTGCACAATAGTATCGATTGTCTATGGGCCGCTTTACGTTGACACAACATACATTGTTTAACGAATTTAATAACAAAACCTCTCATACCAAGATAATAGTATCGAAAATCCAAACCTCTGTAAAGTCCTCCTCACACCATACTGCCCGGCTGTCAGAGCACTATGATATTCAGACAGTATCTTATGCCGCTTGTTGGTTGAAGCCACCAACGAAGCCTCAGCCTTCCTCGTTTCATCCGGGGTGGTATCTGTAAATAACACAATCGGATTTGTTGACTTGGTCCTGGTATGCTAATAAAAGACCAGCTACTTCAAGGTTTTAATTAAGACTAAAACTTAACAATAACTTACACTAGACTAAGACACTCGATGCGATATACTAATAATGGCTACGCGACATGCTCTTCCCAAATGATTTTTATTCTAAAATATTAAAACATCAATTGTTATAAAAATAAAAGAAACTACACAAATTATTTACAATTTAAAACAAAAAAACAAAAAGTTTAAACACAATAAGGCTTTATATAAAATATACATGAAGAAGATAAACACGACAAGTTAAAAAAAATAACTTAAAAATCCATTTTCATCAAACCGTGATGTCATTTTATATAGATAATGTCGCTGCATTGTATTCTGTAAGCGATGAGGGTAGCACTAAACGCTGACTAAGTTTAAAAATAAATTACCCTAGATTGTCAGTAAGAGATTTTTTGTAACTATTTGCTAAATAAATAATTAAACCGTAATAGTTCATGCCCCGAACCAGTGGCGTAACTATACCGTTCGAGGCCCGTGGCAAATTCATCGAATGGGCCCTCCCACTTCCCCAATATATAAAGAAGCTGAACCAACAATTGAGATTTCCTCTGACCGGGGAACTATACGTAGTCTGACAAAGACTTGTCGATCATTCTACAAATGTCTAAAATCGTAGTACCGTCAATGAACTCAGACGCAGCGCGGACCGATACGTCCACACTCTAGCAAGCTGAACGCGGACTGAAATGAATTTTGATTTGCGCGCCTTGATTTCTAGTAGTTTTAAAATAATAATAGAAAAATAATAGATAGACTTTTTAAGGTAAATATATTAAAGAAAGAGTTCTTCTATGGATAGAACTATTTTAATATTAAATTACACGAGATAAATAGGCAAATAAAACGTTCTAATTCCTTCATATTTCACGTTGCGAGAATTTATTTATTTTTATTGTTCTATTTATACAGCATTGATACAGCGTAAATCGTGATTTTTTTTTTCGGCAGTGAAATTTCCTAAACATATAAATAATCAACATGTTTATACGATAAGTGGTTACTGATATTAACAGGTTTGAAAAACCCAGTTTTAAGCCAAATTGCGCGTGGAAGGTATAAACGCTCTTAAATTTATGAACAGTTCCACATTGCGATAATATATATCGCCGTACCCCGCCGCGTCAAGTAAAAAAAGCGCATCGTAAAAGTTCTTTATAATCACACAATTTGTTAGGTTTTGGATTAAATTGATAAGAAAATACGGATTTCGCCATAATCGAAGCCATTATACACAATTATTTAAAATTTTCGCGGTCGCGATTAAAAGATACGCCATGTTGTTTAATAAAAAACACTGTTTATTCAATTAATTATAATCACAAAGTACAATACTAGTCGCATATATTATAAACCAATACATAAAAAAGTAGAATATACACAATATCAAATTTAGGCTCTTCATATAACTTATAAGGAAACTTAGTTAGCAAGGTTCTGATATTACACCCAAACACTACACTTGTGTAGTATATTTGATAATTACCTTACATGCCGGTTGGAAATTCCAGTAGGCACATGCCGCGCAGACTGTCAATCACTTCCTCCAATGTGCATACCTCGCGTTTAACCTGTCACCAAACTGCTGCCTCTCCTGTAAGCTATATTGATTAACCAAGTCGTGAATTTGTGTGACGCGCCGTCACAGCTTGCTGAAAAATTTGCAAAATTGCCCCCGCTGCAAGTCTCCGCCTTGACTTTGGGGTACTGCATTGCTGCCAATACCGCTTCCAGCCGTCTGCTGGAAGCGGTATTGGCAACAGCAAAAGCTTGTTCGCTTTAGCTTGTAACTTTGTGAAAACATCCATTATATTCTCGCTTCCCTTGCGCGTAGTCGTAGTCTTCTCCCTCCTCCTCGATATATAAAGAAGAAGATTATTCTGTTTACGTTTTAATAAAAATTCACTCACACGCAAGATGGTGCTTTCGCTAGCCAATCAAGGAAAACCGTGCCAATGACATTTTTGACATTCTTATTTTTTTGACAATTGACTCACTAAGTATTACAGACTATCTCTTACATAGATTACCATACAAAATGGCAATAGACAATACCAAATTATTTTATTGAAATTGCTTTATTTAAAATACAACATAATTGCAAGAGGTTCTAAATGGTGTGGAACCTGTGACAACGCCACCAATCATGTCCACACTATTCTACTATTAATATATTACGGTAAATTCCTAGTACTAGCTTCGAATATCCAATTTCCGTGTCTAGCACTTCTAGCCTAGCCTTGAAGGGAGAATTTCTTTCACTCGATTTAAATATGGCTATACATAGCATGGTGTGTCTGTGTGAACAGTTTCTATCAGCGCTACCGTGATGTCACTGCTCGTATAAAGGCGTCGTCGTGCCCTTCGATACCGCCGGTGCCTCATATTCCTCTCGCCGCCGTCCTTGAGCTGAGGAAAAAGAAACAAGAGACTAACAATACTACTGAGAATACTAACGACGACGTAAAAGCAAGGTGCCGCGGCTTATTCTATTTGATTCTGCTTACGAGTTTAAGAGGGTTTGTGAGTTGTACATTTCATATAGATGTCTTGCTCGCATGATCTCGCAACTTACAAAATTTAAAGAATATTTTTATCAATCCTCGTTTTAAATAAAACGCTTTAACGGTTTAAAACTCGATATGTATTAGTTAAACTTATTTGAAAATTATTTCCCGGGCCAGGCCGAAGTTGAAAATTATTTTCAAATAAGTTTAACTAATATAAATTGCGTTTTAAACCGTTAAAGTGTTTTATTTAAGTGAGTACTACTCGCATAAACTACAGACAGTATTTAATCCTCGGTTTATTAAAAATAACCATTTATTTCAATATCCTCGCTTGAATAATATTATAAATTAAACTATTGTTATACCTATATACGATATGTGATTGATGAAAATTATGAAAGAATCTAAAACCATTGGTTTTTGGCACAAAACAGATCTGATGCAATTTTGCTAAGAAAACAGTAAAGTATTGATAATAAAAATGTAATGCTCACGAACCCTCTTAAAGTCGAGTATAACAGGATATATTTTTAAATAACTTGATGTTATATGAACAATGGCTTATATGGTAATACTTTCTAATCTCAGTTAAGCTCTATTCGTATAACAAATATTCACTATCGACCACATTAAATTTATTAATTTTATGCTTCTTATGTTTATGGTAGGGCACTGTACTATAATTTTTATTAAATTGACTTATGTGTTTAGAGTTAACGCGACCGAAAAGAAAGAGAGAGAAGCAAACACATGGAGCGTGCCTACAACTAGTTCAAGCCCAGTTTCAAATAATACAACAGCGCAGACGACAGTCAGAAGGTAATTTTTTTATCTCATTTGCCCATTTTTCATAGATATAACTTATAGAATATCGAATAAGTTGTATCTATGGAAAAGTATAAGCTACTGACTTCAAACAAATACCAATGAATCATTAGTACAGTTCAGGAATTAACTTCGACGAAGGATAATCGGCGAATTCGTACTTCAAAATAATTCGTAACTATTTCATATATTATATATACTTGTACCAAATATGTATTATTGAAGTGTATGACAGAGATAGCGCGTCGCCTTATCAAGGACAGCTTATTTGTCTCTTTCCAAAAATATTTTTTTTTTTAGTCGGGTTACTTAAATTTTTAGTTTAATTTTATAAATGTTAGTAGTTTTTGCAGAGATATTTGAACCTCCTGTTATCATATGATTCTACCTGGCGGCGCTATAAGTTTGTGTAAAAAGTAGAAAAGTTATTTGTGTAGATGTGATATAGTTGTTAACGAGAAATGTTGACTCTTCTAGACTAAATATTTTTCTACTCTTCTTTTCTTGTAGGGTGTTACTTGGTAGAAAATCTCAAGTGCCATTTATTTTCTTATTCACCTCAAATAAGGCATGATCATTTTAAGGTGGATACTTAAACAATAGGCCTCCTTTATAACCCTCCTCTAATGTAACCTCATCTGGCATTTTCAAACTTGCTTATAAAGACGCATAGAGAAAGAGGACTATATATATATAGAGATAATGATTAGAAACTAAAAAGAATGGCACATTTTAAATTGCAAGTATCATAGTAGTTCACTTTGTTAGTGAAATATTTTTGATATTATATTTACGTATGTATGGCAGCGGTTCGGAAAGTGTTGAGTCGAACAGTAGCAATTCAACGCCGAGTTCAGTGACGCCCACCAAACTGTCGCCTGGAAATATTTTCAAGAACTTCTTCAAGTACATAATTTACTGTAGCTATGTATATCTGTGTGTTTGGACATCTAATTTTTATGGTTTTCCAAAACCGCGTCCTTTGTATGCGGTACTGTACAATTAAAACACTAGACTAAATATTAATAAGCTGGGGCTAAAATTTAAAAGAAACTGCATGGAACAACAGCGGTCTTACTTTTATTTTCGCCTTGCCTTGAAAAAAAAGAAGGAAATTTAAGCAAGGACTTGAAAGAAACTTATGTCTTGTAGGAATTATTGTCTCATATATATGTTAATAAGAAATCACTCTAACCATAAATAGTGATGTTCAAACAGTACAAGAATTTTGTGCAAGTAGATAGAGCGTCGTTTGTTTTCGTCCTAAAATTTTTAATACTTTTTATATGCCTTGTGTGTTTGATCCCTTTATAGAACCTCAAATCCTTTGCTAACAATTTTTAATCATGCACTGTAGTTTACGCTTGTATAAAGTAGAAACTTGCTTTTTTTATCATAAACTATCTGTGTTAGCGACTTCGTTCGAATAGAATAGTTATTTTGAGCAATTAAATTTGTTTTTGTAAACCATCTCTTCATCTTTGTCTATTTAAGCTGTTACCCACGCACGTCGTCCGCGTCCCGTCGTTCTTGCAAGTTGATCTTACAAGATAGACGTATACTGTCACAGACTTTTTTTTAGATTATTTAAAGGGGAATCGTTCTTTGACACATTTTTTGGGTATTTTGAACCGTTTTCGCAGGTTAGGCAATGGAAACCCACAAGGATGAATGATTTTCCCCGTTTTTTTTTCGACATTTCCCGGTGTATCTTCGCTCCTATTAGTCACAGCGATATGTTTCATAGCCTATAGAATTTTTCAATTCGAACCGGTTGTTGCTGAGATAAGCGCGTTTAAACAAATAAACTCTTCAGCTATATATATTAGTACGGATTATGTTTCGACGTTTTGTCTCCTAAATTGTTTCAACCTATTTATGCTAGGGTTTTTAAGAGTTTAGCTAGTTTACTAATAAAGTGGTTATAACCGGGACCAACAACGACGGTGTTGGTATCTCCTATGACAGGTTCTAGAAATTTTTGTATCCAAGTTTTATAGTCTGCAGTTAAAAAAGAGTTAACTGTGTCTAAACCCATCTTTTCAGTTTTAGATTACGTTGTGTTTCTTATTGGGATAGAACTTCATTAGAAATATTTTCTTTGCATGAGTGTAGTTGTTTGATCACTCTTAATATTATAGGCATGAATTGTTTCTATTTATTTTGTTTTCTTATAACTTTAGTCTATGCATGTATTCATCGTGTGTCTGCTTTTCAAATGACAGCGATACCTAGCTTTTTATGTGTGTCTCTGTTACTAATTGTGTTACTGAAGTATGAAAAATTTAGAGTTCAATTATTGCTTCATAATTTCGCATTTTAATGCGGAACCTTTTAAGCCATCAATTATATAATAATAATATAGAAATAGAATGACCCGTTAAAAAACATTTTCATATAAGTTTATCCAATATATCGCGTTTTAAACCGTTAAAGTGTTTTATTTAAATCTGAAAGTGGTTATAACCGGGAAATAATAATATAGAAATAGAATGTCACTTGGGTCATTCTATTTCTATATTATTATTTCCCGGTTATAACCACTTTCAGATTTAAATAAAACACTTTAACGGTTTAAAACGCGATATATTGGATAAACTTATATGAAAATGTTTTTTAACGTCGGCCCGACGTTTCGGATGCTTTGCAGCAGCCGTGGTCACGAGGAGGTCACACGTATCGCGTTTTAAACCGTTAAAGTGTTTTAATTAAATATGTACTACTCGCGTAAACTATAGACATTGTTTAATAGCATTTCAGGCCAAAAATCGACATTACAAAATGGATTTATTTTTTATTTTGAAAAGAATAAAAAAGATTTTATTTTTTTAATATGCACTACTTATTTTTATTATTGCAGTATTTCTGATCAACTATTGTATTTTATGGACTAAAATGAACATTCCTTTTATAAAAGAATATGTTTAGATGAAACGTAGGTATTAATTGTATATATTATTATGATCCCAGGTCTTTCGTGCCACCAGTCCGAGACGATGAGAGTGAAACGCAGAGAAAGGCTCACGCGAAACGGGTTCGCGAAACAAGGAGGTCTACTCAAGGTGTTACCCTAGATGAGATCAAATCAGCTGAACAATTAGTCAAAAAGAAAACTAACAATGGCGTGGCGGAAAACACAACAGCAAACAACGCAAAGAAAGAGGAAACGCCAGTTGAAAATAACACAGTGCGTATAATTACTGTACAGTCTGTATTTAGTATCGTAAATAATATGAAATTCAAATATTACGCCAATATCTAAGGAAAATTAGAAACGAGCTTTATATGTCTTTTAGTAAATTTTATACATACTACTTTATATAAATTGATTATTACCGATTTTCCCAAGTTGTTAGAAAACATATTCCATAAATAATACACTTTTTAACGGTTTTAATTGTGAATTATGTTAGTTTATCTTTAACTTCGACCTAGCACTAGCCTTGCACCAGCCACGGTGACGAGGAGATTAAACATATATTTATTCACGTTTTAAACTGAGAAAATGTTTTTTTTTCTTGTTTATTTCTTGTGAAGTACTATTATATTTAAAAATATTATTTTAAACCAATACCAACAGAGCGTCAATATTCAATATGTAGCAATTCAACATTGCTACATATTGAATCATCGTGTTGATCCCTTTTTATACTTAGTTTTCCCATTAAAGTATAAAAGTCGACTTTGAAATATCCGAATGTCATTATTATTCTTTAGAATAAGCGACGTCTACATAAATAACAATCGACTATCGAATATTTTATCTTGTGTGTAAAACGCCTTATATTTAATAATTTACTTGTCCCCATTGACAGACAACGTCGAACATGTACTGGTTTTGTTACCTCTGCATTTTTAATTTACTCACATGTACAGATATCAGAAGTTGGTAACATTTGTGTTAATCCATTCTATTTACATGTAACAATTAACTGCAACATACCCCATTGTATGTTTGTAGAGTTTCATACACAGCAAAATATGTTTATACTTGTACGATTTCATCATTTAATAACTTTGTGACGCTACAGTAAATAATATTGTGTATATGATGAGAAATATTTTCTCACGAGAATAATTTATTGCATAGAGTCTAGTTTGTCCTAGGGTGTGGAATACCTAGAAAGCCATTACAGCAGATTTGAATTTCAAAAATAATGACGTTGGTGTAGTTTCGGGCGATCGCCGCAAGTGGTGGGGATGCCGCTGTTTCGTTAGCGCTCGCGAGCGCAACTATCGCCCCCAACAGTGATCGACGACCGTCTTGGCGGCTGCGAGTAGATCCCACTAACAAGGTCTTTTTACGCGTTCCTAAACCACACGACTATTCATTCTATGCGAATACTAAGCCGATAGAGTACCTGCTATATGTCTACACATGTTTTGTCCTTCTCATGTAAACAAAAATTACGTTTGCGCTAAAGACAAAAGCTATCTTATGTTCGTTAATGACCGTTTATTATAACTGAGCTAAGTTGTGATTGACCGTTCTTATATTCGAAATTTGAAATTAGAACCTTAGAAATATGCGCTACACTTGTGTAAGCTATATATCGTCAATACTAATTTATTTTATGAGTAATAAAAAAATAAATCAATTGTTTTTCGACAAATGTATTATAGACTGTTGTATTGTGAATAGTCGTGTAGGTTCGCACTGTATGGGATATATTATGTTCGGCACTCGGCATGGTGTGAAAAATTTTATGGGGCTTTAGTAAATTTGACGTTATCTAATCGATGTTGTGATTTCCAATAATTTACGAAAAAAAATAACGTGGCAGCTATTAGAAATATTAACGATTGGTTTTTTTACTCTCGATAAATCTTTTGCTTATCTATTTTAATGCAATATTCTGTCTACTGTTATTTACATCTATGTATCTGTCTGTATATGTTTACATGTCTATTTTCCTTATACAAGTAGTGTCTATATCTATTCATTGTTTATGTCATTTATTTATGATTTAATTGCACGAGCGCATTTATCATAAACTGCACCTCTATTGTTAAAAATAGTGTGTACTGCTTGTGTTTAAAATTTGTTACACCGGTTTTAATAACATTCATATATGTATGTAAGCACTAGCGAGGAAAATGTATTAAATTGTTGTTATTTGTGGATTTGTCAGAAATAATTAATTAGCAGCTCTTAACACATACAAATCGACTAGTCACATGTAATCGATTATCATTTAAGTATAATACGGCCGACGTAACTTTGCAAGTCTGAACAGAAGTTAGACTAACTTTGGCGCATGTACACTCGCAAAGAAAATTAATACTGCCATTTATTTTCGTTACTGGGATACATGAAAGATTTTACCTATAGGAAGCAAAAGTAACATACCAATAATTGATTTAAAGAGATAAGGGCTACGAACACTTAGCTTTCACTAAAATACAGAGACAAAACAAAAATATAACAAAAGAGAAATAATAATATTAAATTTAACAATAGACAATCACTTTTCTAACGGACTGCGCTCAAAAAAGAGATAACGAAATTAACACCAAGGAGTGACTGAGACACACTACTGTTTACCGAACATTACCGAATATGTACGAAGCTTTACGAAAGAACCAAACAGAGATGTCCATACGCGATCCTTGAGAGTGTCGTTTAATCGATTCCTATTGAAATAGACATAATTGGATCATAGAAATAGATTTGTATAAAAAACCCTAAAGAAGGTATAAATAGTAATTATATAAATAATAACTCGTATTTAACTAAATCAGGTAGGTCAATAATGAAAAAAGTTTTTAATGATTTTTTTTCTGTAAAGGTAATAATGGTATTGTTTATTAACAACACCATTCACTGTGTTCATCAATCCATTTAGTATAATATCTCATTTCATACGATTTAAAATCCATAATCTAAATTGATAAAAATCGATTATAAAATTTGATAGAATAAGCGGTCGATTGTGTTGACATTGAGTCAATCACTAGCCTAGATCTTCGTCCCGCGCCCCTCGCTCTTACCACCGTTAACATCCTAAAGAACGTTTCTGCGCAGCGTTTCGCGTTTAGATCAGGCTTGCCAAGTTACGTCGGCCGTATTGTATATTTGATGAAAAGAATCCTGAGTTCGAAACCAATTGTTTAAAAAAAGAACACCATTCTGTGTGTTTTTTAACCGATAAAACTTTACTTTTTTATCGTACTCACCCACGGCTGTTCTACCTTCATGTCATGCAGCTGATTTTAAGATACTATTGCTACTAAAATTAAATCGTTAAAATAAGTCCAGCTAGTTCACTTTAGTATGGAAGCATTTGAAATTAATTCTAATCTTATAAAAATTAATGGAAATGGAAAAAATTTAGACGTTCATATCAGATAACATCCTTTGAAAAACAGTGACAGAGACCATCTAAATAGTATTGTATGAGTTTGGCACTATAAATGCCTCTACCATACGCCATAATAAATATCGAAATCTTCAATGGCTATAGTCTATTGTGTTTGTTAAATTTACGAAGGTTATTTGGAAGGGTTTATACAACACCAAGAATAACAACAACTAAATATGTTATTTTTATAAACAGTTTGAATTGGAGGATGCAGCACTGACCCCACGATCGATAGCGGAAACGGAGGCGACCGTCACATTACCACTCCGTCGCCAGGCCCCGTTCGTTCAGGATACCACGGTTACGACTACGTCTATTGCCAACGCCACCACTCATGCGAAGGAAAATAACCGCACTGGTTAGTAGAACGTCTACCTGCCAGGCAGAGGTAGATTTTGTGGAGTAAGACCTTTTTTTACGCAACACAATAACGTACGGTTTATAGTATTACATGCGAATAGGTATTAATTCAAAATTATCATTGGTTACAAATACTACTCGCGTAAACTACTGATAACGCGAGTAGTACACAGTTAAACAAAACAGTTTAACGATTTAAAACGCGATATATAAGCTTATTTGAAAATATATAATAAGACTAATAAGCAACGGGTCGTTTCAAATTTTTCTGAAACATGTTGGACTTCGTCTGGAAATCTGTATATAAAATGAGTGCTAAGAATATCGAAAATTCCGTCCGGGCACGAACCATTGTACACAGATGAAAAGCCATAAAGCGTTCGCGTTTCGCTTTCAGTCTGTGGATTTCCGAATATCCAAAGCCAAAAGTGGTCGACAGCGCATCGTCTTTAGATGTTATAGGCTAGGGTATATCGCCTACCATCAAGTGTGCCCTATACTTGTCCGTCCTCCACTGTCATTACAAAAGACAAAAGACTAATACAAAATAATTGATCCATCAAAAATTAGCAACTTTGAATACGCGTAAGTCACCCCGACTTTACGTATAATACCGTGTACATAGTTCGGTTCGCTAGCATTTGCACCGTTGCAGGCAATTCTGTGACGCAAACAACAGAAGAGGAAAAGGACCGCGAGAGTAGTGTTGAAAGCAAGTCATCAAGCAACGCCTCCCCGTCGAGCACGCAGGCGGCTCTCAACGTGATCCAACGGCGACGAAGACCAAAACGAAGATCTACCGGCGTCGGACATGTCGACATGGATGTAAGTCTACGAAAATTTATTTCCATCACATTTAAAGATTATGTTTGCACACTACAAACTAAATAGCGCAATAGTCGTTCTCTTGTGGTAGGCACCTGTGATTCTTGGGTTTAAACTACCAGTTATAACAATTTCCAAAAACCTTTATTCGAATTACTGTGTTACATAAGAAATTGTGCCTTATTAGATTTCTAGCTTTTTTAAGCTTCTTAAACATTTTCCATATTTGCCACTCTGTTCTGAGTCACCCTGTTCATTTGTATTAAATTTATAGTCCCAAAATAAGGGAGACATATTCCAAATTTAAAAGATTGCGTACAAGACAGTAAAATATGTAGAGTCGCGTCTTTTCAGTAAGATGTTTATAATATGTAATAATAGACTCTCTTTTGTCTAGGATATCGTCAACGATCGCGGAGGAAGCAGTGAGGGCGATGGCGATTCAGAAGCAGCGCAAGTAAGTTCTTATATAATACTAGCTGTGTCAGCGACTTCGTCCGCGTAGAATAGTTTAATACAAACCGAGGAGGTTCATCTTTATAAATTTAAGCGACACATCGTTCTTGCATGTTCATCTTGAGATAGACATATATACTTTTGCGGACATTCTTTTTGATCATTTTAAGAAGAATATTTCACTCAATCAGTTTTTTTGTCTATCTTTAACCGTTTTCGCAGCGTACGATATAACCTACAAAGGCGAATAATTTTCCCAGTTTTTCCTGCATTTTCGCTGTTTCTTCGCTTCTATTCACACACACAGTCACAGCGAAATGTTTTATAACCTATAGACTTTCTCGATATATACTCTAACCAATAAAAAAAAAGGATTTTTCAATGCGAACCAGTACTTCCTGAGGTTATCGCGCCCAAACAAACAAACTCTTCAGCTTTATATTTTAGTATAGTTTTCGGTTAATTTATATATCCAAATTGTACATACAAATCGGTGGCCTACTGTCAGTTTCCTTAATCTGTGTCTCGGTAAGTGTGAATTCCAATTTAATGCCGTTAACCTAATTCCAATTTTGAAAATCGTTAGACCTGAAATCGGTTTCTGGAAGATATGACTTACAATAAACACGTATAGCAGCGGAACACGCGTGGCCTCGGGAGCTTTCGTCGACGTGGAAATTACGACTAATAAACAATTTTGTGACAACTTCCTTTATCAAGAACGCTTTTAAGCTTTATTTTAGTATGTAAACACAATTTATTTTATAAATGTGACATTTCACGTGTATAATGAACTGTGGATGCTGCTCGAAAATTATATTTCTACCCACACTATTCTATACATATAGAATTGACTGTTTTGTCTAGCGAATAATGCATTCGACTGCATGTTACGACGTCTAGGGTTCAAATCATTGGTCGTTCGCGGCATTTGGAATATTTCAAAGAAGGTACACTCGTGTTCGCTAAACCTGTTATCAGCGTGTAGTAAATGTATTTTGTTTTTTTACTCAGTGCTAATAAGAATTGACTTGCGGTCATTTCCTTAATCAATATTATATACTTCTCGGTAAAATTGGCTCTTAACTTTTCTGATGTACAGCGCGTAACAGAGCAGATACTTGTAGAATAATATTTCTAGGTATATACTTGTACATACTTATTACGTTTAGTGTCGCTATGGGTGATCAGACACCTGTGCGAAAACCTATAAAACTGAAGGGGTGCATTAGTGTAGTCAATTACGTACTTATATCGTTAGGCTTCATTACTCAGCAATTGAATCTTTATAGCATATCATTGTTTTTCGAGCTGTTTGGCCGACGTAAGCGAGAAGAGGTTCTCGACGTTTCGCCATCACGAGCGAAGAAATTTTCGAGCGCTCCAGCTTCTGATGATGCCGTCCGCTAGTGATGGCGAAACGTCGTGAACCTCTTCTCACTCACGTCGGCCGACCAGCTCGAAACAATAATATGCTGAACGATGGCCGTGAACGTGAACGTGAACATCTTTACACAATATATTGAATCTTTATTATTGTATATACTATGTTAAAAGCTTAGCATGTATTTTAGATAGATAAATCATTGACTAAGTACTATTCAAGTTTACATCGTTTTCATGGTATAAGGTAGCAATCGATTTTTTTTATAAATTTTATTTGGTATTTTCTAGTAATGTTACCCAGAGTTGAATTACATCAATTCTATTATTAGGCTACACGTATGTATTTTTATATAAATTAGATAACGTTTAAACCATCAGTAATTGTAGTGTGACAGATTGGCGTGAATCCAGTTGTATAGTTTTAAAACCGCTAATAAATTACACTGTCCCATTTTGTAATTTACTGTTCATATGTACAACAGTCGTCAGAAAGCCTGTTTTATTTGAAACTGATTTGGGTAAGATACTAAGAATAAATGCGAACAGAAAAATGTGTATTTTCTAACACCGCTGTTGCTCAAAATCTGCTCCTAATCCAAAATGTCCGTTTGGTTAAAATAAATTTTCATTAAATCTATACTAATACATAAAGCTCTTTTGTTTGTTTGTTTAAGCGCGCTAATCCCAAAAACTACTGGTTCGAATTGAAAAATTATTTTTGTGTTGGTTAGAGCATTTATCGAGGAGCCTATAGTCTATATAGGCTATAAAAATTGCGATGTCACTATAGGAGCAGAAAACGAAATTGGAAATGGTCAATATTCATCTTTGCGGGTTTCCGATCCGTACGCTGCGAAAACGGTTCAAGATACCCAAAAATAAGCATGAAATAATGATTCCTCTTCAAAGAATCTAAAAAAATGTACGTAATACTATATCTCTATTTTATGATTAACTTGCAAGAACGACGGGACGTGACCGAAGTCATAGGTCACTGCCTAAATTTGTAAAGATAATGGGGTTGGAAAAAACTAATTTGGATGCCCAAATAACTATTCTACGCTGACGAAATCGCTGGCACAGCTAGTTATTTTGATATTGATTAATATAAGAAGAGCCACGTACCGATATTAAATTTATAAGTGGTAAGCTTTTTACCTTCCGACTGTACTCTCTGTACCGACTGTACTCTACATATGTATAACAAATTGGCATTGGTAGATCAAGATTAATGGTCAGGTGTAATTGCTTATGCACCAAATGATTATGTACTGTTCATTAGGCCAAATGAGTTTTAGTAATGTACCCAAATAGTTATCGGACTTTCGACGTAGTCTCCCGAAAATGACGTCAAACAGTATTTATATCTAGCTTTCGATGAGTTTGCATAACCATTGACTCGTTTAAAGAAACAACGTTTTCTTGGTTATTCACGTTCAGCATGAATTTAGGAACGTATTTCAATAAAACACTTTAACGGTTTTAAACGCGAAATATATTAGTTAAACTAATAAGTTTCAGATGCTTTGCAGCAGACGTGTTCACGGAGCCGTAGTTAAAATAGGTTTAACTATTATATATCGCGTTTTAAACTGTTAAAGTGTTATATTAAATTGTGTACTACTCGCGAAACGTATTGGTCAGAAAGATTATAGTTTTTTACATGTTTGAAAAATAGATTCACATTGAGCGAAAGTTGCGTGTATCAATAGGGTAAAAAATCGACGAGGACGACTAGGGTACGGTAGCTCAATGGGTTAGTGAAACAGCACGGTTACCGGTTCAAGTCCTATTTAGATTGAAAAAAAAATATATATCGATTTTTTTTTTCAATCTAAATACGATTTTTAATTCGTAATTAAAATTTAAAAATATTTACAGTGGGCTTCAAAAAATGGTCGTCCCTTGTCCCATGTAGAGAATATAAGAGTTAGTTTCAATCATTATAATAAGTTTTTTGCTTATAAAGTGTACATGTACTTTTTAAATAGCGATGTCTATAAAACAACAACTGAATAAACTGTTAAAAAGTAATAAACAAAGAATAGTGTAAACTACTTTGCGATGCATAAAAATTCAAAAGAAAATAAACTCTAGGACGCTAATTATAAAGGGTGTCTTATTTGTAGATAGTTGTAGTTTTTTATAAAAACAGATTTAAAAACTTACGTATTGCAATTCATTGTTGGTCATTCTAAGGATCAAAAATGAAAATTCTTAACGCGACTATAGTTTAAAATAAAGATTACTTTGGTGTTATATAAATCCAAAGATTTTTTAACAACATTAGTTTTTCTTGTAAATTTATACCTGGTGTATTTCATTTCGAAATTCAAATTACTTCGATTTTTTTTTTATTTCGATCGGAGTTACAAGAATTTCCTAGGTGAGTTGTAGTCAGGTGTCTTTTTATCAAACCAGACCAAGTTGACGGATAAAATCTTAAAAAGATAATTACTTTTCCGTTGTTTTTAATTACTTTCTGCAAAAGGTCACTTTCTCGTTAAAATGACAAAGCAAAATATTGTACAACACGTAAGAACGCGAAATAATAAGTATGTACGTGGTACCGTAAGGAAATGGAATACAATGAATTTTTCGCGATAGTAATTTTTGTCAAAAATTGCTTAGATGTTAAAAAATGTTGCAAATGAACTCGGAAATGTGTTATTTTTAGCGTATGGTGGATGACGGGCGAACGTTGTGCACATGGCCGTATGATGCCATCGATGCATCGATTCTCCTTACCTTATTTCTATTGTCGAGAAAAAATCCATTAATATTAAGTAAAACTATTCGTGGTGTAAATTGGGCGGTAAAGAGAGAGGTAATTTCAATGACCCATATTTTTGACACTCTATGTTCGACTTCATTTTAAATAAAGAATTAGGTATTGTCTATAGTTTTTTGCAAGTACTGCACGTTATAAATGTTAAAACGATTTTAATGGTTTTAAACGCGAAACAGATGCGTTAACTTAAATATCGTTGACAAAATAAAGAATTATCGAATTTGAATAAAGAAATAGTACAAAAGATATACGTTTAATAAATTTCGTATTTTAATACGTGGATCTCGTTGGAATTTTCTTTTTCGTCGCGTGTATTTCGTAACTATTTCCGAGTGTTGAAAATATGTCATTAGAAATTCCAGTCTAATTCACTACGGCGCTCCAAAATGAGTATTTGGGTCAGCGGTCTTCTAAAACGAACACACGTAAACTTGAAAATAAAATTTATTTATAGACAGTAACAAAAGACTTAACGCCTATTCGGCTACAAGACTTCGGCAAATAATTGAAAAAGTTAAGATATACTTTGAAAGTTCAGATACTCAGTAGATTAAGCCACGTCTCATCTTTATCTATACTAATATTATAAATGCGGAAGTAACTGTTTGTCTGTCTGTCTGATAGTCTTTCACGCCAAAACTACTGAACGGATTTAAATTAAATTTGGTACACATATGGTCTAAGACCCTGAGAAAGGACATAGACTTTTTATGGCAAGAAAGGGTTGATAGGGGATGAAAGTTTGTATGGAAATTCGTGGTTTTTGAAGCTAGAACAATGAAACTTTCATCTTTGGCTTTTTGGTAATAGGAGTGGGAGTGGGAGTGGGAATGAGAGTGAGAGTTAGAGTAGGAGTGATGTGTGGTGAGAGTTTTGCAGCAAAGTAGCACTTGCAACATAGATTGGCTGCCTTAAATGCGCCCTCACATAAATTAATAAACAGCCTAAATTATTAAATATTCTACCCCAAGTCACTATTCCACGCGGACGAAGTCGCGGGCACAGTTAGTATTTTATACATATGACACCCCTTTATACTATGTGCCTACAAATGTATTTATGACTGACGTTTTATTTATGTTCGGTATAATTTACGACATTCGCTTTAGGAGGCGAACGCATTATTTTTAGCCGTTATATACCTGTACGAGCAAGTAGATTTCCGACTGGCCTTCAATACAAAAGCGAACAGTAAAGGTACCGATACATCGATATGAAAAGAGCGAACTGTACCTGCTTTTGCAGGTGCTGCATGGGACAGTAGTTTTATTTACAGGTGATGATTTCCTCACGTGCGATCGCCTCGTGTTTACGTCACGGACGTCTTTCTCGCTCGTATCTGTGAGCCACTGTTTGGTGTGTCTGTCGACAATGTTTTCTCTCTGTCATTATTGGTCTTGGGGAATCGTCAGTGTGTTTTTAAAGCCCGCGCCGTTCGCGCGTTACACAGTCGACACCACTCGCGTAACACATGAACAGCGATGAATCGGAAACAGGATAGATACTCCTCGCGGCCACGGAGCCTCACATCACACTATGGCTCCTCGCCGAGCATGCTGGGTTCGATGCTCGGGGGACAATACAATTCATACGCCAATAGCTATTCTAACAGCTACAGTCCCAGTACATATAGAAACTACAATCCCTACTCCGTCGGTTTGGGACGACCCACCAGTAGTCTAGGGATATACGGGGGCACGAGTTCGGGTTACGGTGGAGTGTATTTGAGTAGTGCCACGTTGGGTTCGTTGAATCTGATGACGCCGGTGTTGAAGAAGTTGGACAAGAAGATATTGGCGAGTCAGAAGAATTTCAAACCGAAACCGGTGCCTCCGGTGAAGGTGCCAGAGGTGGTGGATGCACCAGAGGAGCCGCCCGTTAGACCGGAGAGGAAGTCACGAACGTTAAGCCGGAGTACAGCTCTTGATAAGGAAAGATCTAGGTCGTTAACATCACTGGACAGTGTGAATACGCTTAACACGCGAACCCTTAGCCTCAGCTCGCTCGCTTCAGATGGGTATATTGTACGTTTTCGTTTATCTTAAATTAAAAATCTATTTAGTTACACACAAAGTTTTCTTCGACACTTGTGGGTCTGGAATCGGCAAAAACAGCGTTCCGTGCTCTAACCAATTGAGCTACCGAGTCCTACACGTCATCTGCGGTTTTTTTAATACATGTATCTGTTTCTCTTGTGGATCGATAGACCGATATCTAAGTCCCCGCCCGTGCATTTTTTATCTAAATGTTTAATTTATGTATTGCCAAATATTAATGTTTTTTGTTATTTATCTTTCAAAAAAACATTTTTACTCAGTTTAAACTACTACTGAAAATTACGGCAACAGTGATACTTCGATATATCGACTAGTGAATACAGTATACATTTTATCAAGTGAACTTTTCGACATTAGCTGTATAGCAAGATATATTATTATATTTAATTTAACACTTTATCGGTTTAAAACGCGATATACATTACAACATACAAACAGTGTTTAATCTCATACATCTAATACTGCTGTTTACAGTTTTGGCCAAGCATGACCTCAATGTCAACTACCTACTTACCTATAAAATTATCAATGAAATAGAGTTTCACACATACTAAATTTCAGCAATAGAGCGTATAAATAAATAGTTAAACGTAACACTTGACCGAACTCGTTTTCAAGATAATAAATTCCAAATTAATGTTTTGCGTATGCTGAGGTTGTACATCAGATATTCTAGTTCATAATAGTTTGTATAGTACCGTATACTATTATTTATATATTACTATTATTTTTCAAATCGGTTCCACGTTGCGGTTATTCCTACATATAAAAAGACCTTGGCGTTTAGTATTTATTTCATTCATTTTACACTAACATACAGCCGCGACTTTGAAAAAATATAATAATAAATACTTATAGGCAGCTATGTATATTTGAAAATCAACTTAAAAAATTAACTATTACTATTCACCAGGTAGAAAATACGAGACGCTTATCACTACATGTATTTTTTTGTCCCTATGACTGCTTAAAATTTTTAAAACTACGCAACAGATTTCGATGAAGAGGAAGGTTTTTATGTATACAACATTCAATTTTTTTGGTATCAGCATTGCAGCCGAGCGAAGCCGGGGCTTCTAGTGATTGATATATAGACATAGTGATTCTATCGCTCCATTTATGACTACAATTACTGCGGTTAAGAATATACGTGTGATACTTAATTTTTAATACTTTACTCTTGACTATTTTTACTTCATTCAAAAGGAATTATTTTTTACTATCTGTATTCTTGTTATTTGTCTCATTGGGCGGAATGAGTGTTCTAGATGGGATTTCTATTGTAAGTGAAATACTCAAAAGCATTTTATAACTACGAAAGATAACATATTCGACGGCTCGTGGGTATAATGGTAGCAACGCATGACTAATCAACCGGTCGTGGGCTTGATTCCCACCGGGTCCAAATTTTTCTGAAACATGTGGGACTTGGTCTGGAAATTTGGATGTCAAGTGGGTGGTAGGAATGTCGAAATTCCATCCATTTGATCTCGTTTCGGTTTCAGTATGTGGATATCCGAATATCCAAAGCCAAAAAAAGTTCGACTGCGCATCTTCTTTAGATGCTATATGGCTATCATGAAGTGAACCCACGCTTGTCTGTACTCCTCTGTCATAAAAAATAATATATATTTACATTTAAGCTCTCACATATCTACTACTATTATCACAAGTTGACACCGCTGTGTTGCATTTTCTTATTTGTAAATTATCTTTTTCAGTCTGGTAGTGAACGAACGGAGGATACAGAAGAAAAGGACTACAAGGCTCTATACGAAGCATCACAAAATGAAGTTAGAAGATTACGCTCTTTGCTGTCAACATCCGAGCAACAGTTGCGTGACGCACGGGCAACTATCACCAGACTCACACAAGTGGTATTATGAAAGAACTAATACTTTTTATAGACATATATTCATTATATAAAATATATGGCAATAAATATTGCGTATAGACGGATAGAAAGAGACAATTTGAATATAGAGCGCTATCTCTTTCAAAGACAAATTTTATAACTGTTAGAAAACTTTTGAATTTAGAATTGTGATGAAACACACCTTGATATATTTAAATAAAACACTTAAACTGTTTAAAACGCGATATATATTAAACTTATTTGGAGATTACTTTAACTGCGGCCAAAGGTTTCCGAATAAATTTAACTAATATATATCGCGGCTTCAACCATTGACGTGTTTTATTCAAATGTGTACCACTCGCGTAAACTACAGACGGTTTTCCCTTGATATAATTAATGAATATGCAATATTAATTGCCTTATTTTATTAATGTATGTTCGTAGTACTAGAATTTCATGGCAGACAATTAGATAGTATCGTCTTTTACATTTCTCACCGCGTGTTAGTCTAAATGATTGCATAATGCAAAGCGAACTTGTCTTTTAATTTGTTGCGTTGGCGTGGCGAAATTTATATGCTTTGGTAGTTGTAGTAAATATTGAATATAAATATGTTCGCAACATTGAATTCAATACATTTGAAAACAACATCGCATCGCAGATCGCCTTCATCCCGAGTTAATAATGCATAGGACATGGATTAATCATGTAATTTTTCATTTTGTCCTTTTTTTTAGTATTTATCACATCTTAGTGCTCATCTCAAACAATAAATTTAGAAATTTATTGAAATAAGTAAAAAATAATATTATTTTGCTAGTAACTTGATTGTTTTATCAAGTGTAACTTGTATATTTCTACTACTAAAGAGTATAATAATATCAACGTAAAAAACAAATGAAGAAATGAAAATATCTCTTGGTAAATTACTGGATTCAACTGAACAGGATAAAAGATCGATTATTAGAAAATAAACATGACATTCGACCCAATTGACATTTAAATAATAAGACAGTAAAGTGTTTTATTTAAATGTGTACTACTCGCGTAAACTATAGACAGTACCCAATTGACGTGTACTTGACCTCTTCGTTTAGCTATATAAATACTATTATCACTAAATACTATTTATCACTGACAGCAAACGTCAAACGTCAATCAATTGAAAATGCTTCCGAATATCGAGTTAATAAAGCGATAATTAACCACGACACAGAGTAAACAAAATCTACAATCGTTGAAACCGTGCCACCGTACTCGCCCGTGACATTATGCGTCATTAGATATTCGCCTGCCCCCATTTAAGACGTTTGACTAATCTCCGCCCACCGGTTAGCACTAATTATGTCTACATATGCCCGTTGACAGATTGGCTCGTGTTTTGGCTATCTGCACTCGTTCATCACTAAAGCCACACTGGTCATACCCGTTTTGTTGCTAATCGTCTTCGGAGAACTTCATAACGACTCTCGGGTTTTGCTAGCGTATTCACCATCTATAGAGATTTGTAAATAATTCTGATATATTTGTTTCGTTGCAGAACCAAAACTCACTGTCGGAGATAGAGAAACGTGAAAAGAGAGCGATGGAAAGAAAACTCTCGGAAATGGAAGAAGAATTAAAGGTAACAAAACAGTTTAGCCGTTGCGAATTGAACACGAACATACACACATTATAATTTACAATGTTGCATCTTTAACTAAAACGGTGAGCTTTTAATTTGTTACGCTATACGGCGGACTTCAAGATGGCGTCAAAATTGCCGCCAACGCCGAACGAGGAGTTGTAATGTTTGTTCGTTTTATAGCAATTGCAAAAGTTAAAAGCCGAGAACGAAAGGCTGAGAGCTGAAAATCGTGCGCTTACGCGGGTCGTAAGCAAATTGACCAACTCTGCCGCCAAATAGGTAACTGTGTTGGAATGAGCTCAGTGGCGACATCGTGCGACGTTGTCAGCTAACTACGCTGCCATTCGCTTCTCTCACTCACTCTCTTACCACTTAAGATAAGTTGAAGCAAGACGCTATATACTGTAATCCCATTGGTTGTTGAGATTGCTCAGTGTTACGAGAGTGGGTTTTAGAAACGCGATAAGTTTTGAATCACTCTAGGTCACGAATACCGCGGTTCACCACCATGTGATTGGATCTAGATTTGTCTATGACAAGTGTTTTGTTTCACATTTGTGACGTATGAAGTGCTAGTCAAAATTTTATACTAATATTTCAACACTATTTTTTTTTCAAGGAGAATTTTGTTTAATGGAAGGGTTATTCAGGCAAACGTGGTTATTTTTATACTTATTTTAATAATATTGTCATATACACTTTAGGAAAAGAAAAAGTTGTTCTAAAAAGTACTGGTTTTATCGCGCTTCGACACATCGTTAAATGTTGGATTTTGTATTTGTACCATAAACAACATAGACAACTCTAGCCCAAAATTAATCCAGATTTCCATACCGATAAATGCAAGAATCATTAACTGTGTGCTCTGCAGGCATGCTTTTTATGTATCTAACAATCAAATAATAAATTATCAAGCCATTAATGTTTGAATTCTTCAAATTTAATACAAATTATTTATTATGATTGGATTGACGCGGTTATGTGCGGGGTTATTTATATCAGTTGAAGTGTTTTAACGCGCGTCGTGTTTTCTTTACGAAATAAATACCTAATATATTTTTTATGACTGCGCGGAAGTGAAGCTCATCGTTTTATTTTTTATTGAATTTTTTAAATAAAACTATTTTTTTTGCCAGGTCTTAATTAAGGCGTAATTAACTTAAAATAACGTTACCTAGTCTCTTGGTCTAGTCGTTATGACCTTCGTCTTAGATTGAAACTTGTTTGTTTTTTTTTTAATCTGCAAAAGGCAACTGGGTAGATCTAACTTAAAGTTCTCCCATCCGAAAGAAAGTCTATTCCCAGCGGTGGGACGTTAATAATTGAAAATTTGATAACAAGCCACGGTGATATGTAGTGTGTTGCATGTACCGCGTGTTGCAATTGTTCCAATCAAAAACTGTAGTCGAGGTTAGTTTGGAATGTTAAATAACAAACACAACAGACAATTTAGCACACGCATACATAAATATAAAATACAATGATGTAATTCCGTTTTCCCAACCTTCGGTGCGGGGTAAGCGCTTTTCTGTGTCCGTTTCTTTGGTTGGTATATTTACATACAAGTTGAGTTGTAAGATTCGTATCCAAGACCTCGTACTTCACGCAAATTTGATTGTGTAAACCACTGTGCTACGGAGTGTATTTAAACACTCAATGTCAATTCGATACACTATTCTAACAACTTTGTGACTGTACATTATACTTAACTAGCTGTTATTTTAAAAAATATGTAAATATTTTAAAATATAGTGTTCTGTTCGGTTAGATTTATCCTGTTCTATAAACAAAGTAATGTCTTGGGTTCAATTTTCAATCTTTATAATCATCATCTCATTCGGTTGTTTTATCATTGAGGTATGTTTCAACTATATTTACCGGGTTAAAAAATGGCGCTATTTTATCAAGTGTTATTTCAGATGAAATAAAAAATATATTTAAATTTAGGACTCTTGATCTCAGTCTTCTATAACCGTATTATTATTTAGCGTTCGTTACGGAAGCAGACTGGTTTAAGATTGAGACTTGTGTCAAAAGCTTGCTCAAAAATCTAGCCGAACAATTCCATCGTATTATTCTATTTGCGTGCGAAATTTTGTTATTCCATGTATTTTTTCATGTGTTTATTTCTATTTCAGTATCACCAAGCGCTGCAGGCTGAGAATCAGCGCCTGAAAGACGAGAACGGCGCGCTGATTAGGGTTATCAGTAAATTGTCCAAGTGAGAGCGTTGTCAAATATATTCCCGTATGTTTTTGGCCTAATCGAGGATCAGGAGTTGGATCTTAATGTAATTTATTTAGTATTTGATATACATTTTACTATATACATTTTAAATGAATAGTGACAATATTTTAACTTTAATATTTAAAATCAAGTTACGCAGCTTAATGCAGGCGTTTTTCACTTTCTTATCTAGGGATATTAAGGCTATCTGTAGAAACGACAGTACTTACTATTTTGATCTAGGTGAGACCAGTATTCTTTCTGATCTAACAGTAAAAGGAGACGTCGTGGTTTTGCCATTAGTTGAATTAAGGTTATATGTTATTAGCGTAGAAATCAATTACTTCGAACAATAATCACAATTATATTTTAATTCGGAAATCATGTCGCGCGTATATGAATTTTATCTTGTCACTGTGTCGCTACAGAAGAAGTGTTGATCTAGGACACAGGGTGATGACAACACCTCCCCCCCTTCCCCCTTCACCCCCGAAAATCGTTCCCCTTCTAAATGTTTGGGCGCGCATAATAGGCAATCTGTGATATCTTCAAAATATTTATTAAAATTTTAAGCATTTATATGAATGTTAATATTGACATCACATTAATTTACAATCTGACAGTCTTTACGAAGGCTCTTTATTTATTTCATTACAATTTTTGACTTGCCATAAGCAGAAATGAATACGGGCCCGTTCTATGACCTGATCTCTTCTTTCCGGAGACAGCTTCGCTTTATAATAGATATTATAAAGAAGAAGAAGGTTTTAGCTTCGTAGATATGAATTCCACAACTTCACAAATTATGATTATTTATTAGCACTGTACAGCGAAGTAGTCTTTATAATTCGAAACGTAGTAACGGCGATATTTTCATTGCCGTGTCGTCAACCTTCAGAGAAATTGAATAAAATGCGTATTAAGCAAAATTAGTATGTATTGACTTGCTTTTGTTTCTCAGAACGTTTGTTATATCGTGTGTGTAGTTATTAACGGAATGGCCATAGTCCTTGAAAAGGGCACTAATGTTTATATTGTAAGTACTATCGTTTTAATTTGTTATTAGCAATGGCACGTTTTAAAGAAATCAAACATATCCCATGATATTTACTGTTCGATATATAATGAATTTCGTTTTCCAAAACAATACTTCACATTGAATCTATTTTATTAAACAGTTTTATTTAACTCGACCCATACTGAGTTTATTTGGATCAAAATTATAAAATGAAATTTAAGCACCTTCCCGTTGTCAGATTGATCTGAAATTGGATTAATTTATATGACAACACAATATAATAAAATCTAAATCATTATAAATCCAAGATGGCCGCCCATACAAAATGGCGGATTACACATTTTTTCTATGTCCAGCAGTGTACACTGAACGGCTGACTCGAATCGAATCGATATTTTTCCTTAAACCCTTCAATATGCTTATCAAAAAAAAGGGCTACACTAGTAAACCATGATGATTATGTCAACATTTAAATGTTTTTGTAGTTTTCAGCGCTCAAAAAATAAAACTGTTTAACTTAAAAGATTTTTTTTAAGTGGATACTTGTTATATGTAAAAAAAAAATTAATCACTTCGCTTGTTTAAATTTAGAACCTGCCATTAATTGTATCGCTGGGGTTAGGCTAACGGTTTTACTCTCATTACAATCTCAAATATATTGTAACTAAACTACGATTAAATATATTGATTTTAAACTTTATTTATAATTTTAAAACTTTTAACCTGTTAATAAACTGAAATATTGCTTATTTAAATGCCTTAAATGGAATTGATTTTAAGTCACTCAGTAATAAGGATAATAAAATGTATATACTTAACTTTTTTGGTGTTAAGTTAGTCTACACCCAGCTGATTATATGCTTAAAAAACTACACTTAGTATTGTCCTTAACTCCTGGGGTTATAAAGTGGTCATTGTTATGACTAAGATAATATTTTCGTCGTCTCAAATGCCTGTTCTACATTTTATATCTACAACACTCTCGTCGAAGTTCTGACCTCGGGAATACGTCATTAAGTTTGTAAATAGTGTTTAATAAGGTACTGGTTTAATTTATTTAGAGAGCACTTATTTTTGAGCGATGGTCACTGTTATGAATAAAAAATCAAATAGAGAACTCAAAATAAACATTGCAAAGTACTATATTTCTATTTATTGTTATAATAGGTAAAATTATTGTATGCGAAGATTGATTCGTACTATTTTAGATTTCGTAGTTTTTATTGACTTGATAAATTATTATTGTATCGTGACTTTATAGTGTTCAATGAATTTTTTAAGATGTATCATTTCCTAGCGGTTTCCACAGCGGAAAAATTCACTCAAGAATGCATAATATATCTACATAATATCGCTAATGTATTATTTTAATATTAATTAATAGTAAGGACGTTTTTGTTAATAATGTTTTAAGATTAAACTGTTCGTAACAATCATTAAATATACAATCTCGAAAAATGTTGACTAGAATTATGTTCACAATGCAACTAACCAACATTCGACATGCCTCGATCGACATTCGTATCTTAGAAGAAACATTTGTACCCTCCTATAAGATAAGCGGTCATTTTGTTCATTTAAATTTAATTTATTTCGAAAGAAGAGTAAAAAATAAAGATATTAATTGATTTTCTTTTTGTTCACCTTTTTTTCAACAACCCTACATGATATGAATTTTATTTGGCATTATATTCCTAATAAATTATATGAAACTGTTGAAGAGGCTTTGAAAGTGCCTCCTGTAATAGATAACTGCCATATTTAAATATTTATATAAGTTTATGCGTAGTTTATGCGAGTGAATTAAATAATAACAGTTTAGAACGCGAAACGTATTATTTTTTAACTACGAACTGGACCAGGTTGCGCTGCTCTAAAGCATCGTAGCGTAGCGTAATAATGTGTTGAAAGTTAAAAAGTGTTTCAATAAATATTGTATTGAACACCTTGTAACGTGTACTAGAAAAATGTATGTATATTAACTTTTAGAGCTGGAAAAGTCGTTATCTTTCCTGTCTTCATTTTCTATTTAAGGCAACGAAACAAAACATACGAGGATACTATATCTAGAGATGCCTCGTTTATAAGCAATAAATATTATGTCCGAGTTACATTAGTCGAAGATTTTTAAGATGGCAGTAGTAGTTGTATTTTTTATTTTGTTTGTTACTAAACAGTGCAAAAACTACTAAATTTACCTAGTCTTGGTTTATTACAAAGTAGGAAAATAGATAAAACTGTTATTCTAAATTAGTTAATAGATTTTGCGTAAAAGAATATTAAGAAATTTCAAATAAGTTTTGTATTCATAATTATATCTTCGAGACTATATTATAGACAGAGTGATCGAATTTACACACATTTTGTAATTTATTCAAATTATGTAAACAATTATTATTAAATGAAAATACAGAATTCAATAACATTGGTATTATTGCAATTCCCAAAAGATTAAAGCAACTTAACACAGCTTTATCAACGGCGAAAAGGTAAAAAAATATTATAAAGTATAATTGAAAATCTATAAATATACATGTAAAGGTGAGTATTTTATATGTGTTTATCCTTCACACTCTAACCAATAAAAAAAATGATCATTATGTTTTTAATATGGACTGCTTAGAATTGATTTTTTACCTTCAACAATACATGTAGAGAACAGTCGTAAAATCTCTCAGCCTTTTTTTCGTCTTTCTTGGTAGTAAAAAGTATTCCGCGCCTTGTATATTCTTTAAAGTATTGGGACAAATTAAAGGTTTCGTCGAAATAATTTTAATTCGCTTTAGTATTTCGTTTTTATTACAAAAATAACAACACGCATACAACATGAATTTTTTTCACGAATTAATGCTTTTTCTTTGAATAATCACATAAGGTAATTTTTACTATTTACACTATACTTTTATCGCTAAAACTGGAGAAACATTTCCCAGTACAGTTAAATATTTACAAAGCGTCGCAAAGTTGCATCAAGTAAAAATTTATGAACAAGTCAAAACTTCGCTTATTTAGAAGTTCAATATTTGAATGAAGTTCGCTGGAAATCGGCATGAGTTTTAACGAAAGGAAAATCAATATTATATTTAACTATCGAACATCCGATGTTTAACTACAGTGAAAGAAGCAACGAGAAATTCTTTTGGCATCAAATTATTGTTATGTACTAGTAAAACTTAACTTTTAAACAATAAATATAGGTACATAATATTGTAGGTATATATAATTTCTACCACAATAATACTTAAAATTATTTAACTTATACTAAATACATAACTAATTAATAACTACGAGTATAAAAATGAAAGGTCAGTTGCTTAAAACAATTTTAGGCTACATTTGACAGTAAAATTCGCTGCGTTATCGGAATTATATTTTCATCAGTGGTTAAGAAATTACTGCCCAATCTAATGATCAGTTAGGCAAGAACAATTGTTAGTTTAGACCCACTTTCAACCAGACAAAATCATTAAGTTAGCCGACCGGTCCCAATGACGTGTTGTCAGTCAATGACGGATAGCCATCCCTGTTAAACAGTAAAAGTTAAAGTAGCTGTAACTGGCGTTTCAATATATTTTTTGACGTGCCTATCAAAAATTAAAAGTAGATAGAGAGGCTGTCATAGGTTAACCTCTCCCTCTCAAACGTCCCGTTTTACATGTGCTACTAATAACAATGATAATAAATGTTAAATGTTATTTGAATATTTAGACCGGCCATTGATCGAACTTCGTTGTTGACAGTTCATTCAATGTCTTTATTCTTCATTGAAGTTGTGTTAAAACCAAACATAGATAATATACGAATTTTGTTAATTTTTAACTTAAATTACGATTTAAAATTTTGATATGAATTAGTTTCCGACTTCAAGTCTCTGTATTCAACAACTCTTGATATCTTTGGTTGTATACCTAAATTATAAAGCCGTGTACTAACTAGCGACCATAAATATACGATAAAACAATGTTTTATAATTGTTGTGTCTGTAAAATTATAGATTTAATTCTTATTAAGGTATAATTACGCCCCGCCAGTCAGTACGCGACTTGACGTACCTGGTTTGAACACAATACGTTTTCTAAACACCAATTAAAATTTAAAATAATATATACAATTTTTCAAACAATCAAGTGATATTGGTAACCATATAATTTCAAGGTATTGGTATGTAAAGGATTACTTTCGAAGTTATCACATTGAATTTTACGTTAATTATCATGAGTCACTGTAACGGACCATATTGGAGTTAAACTAAATGCCTTAAAACGTGCCCATTATAAACTTACTTAAGAAATTTATTAAACAAAAATATCAGTTTTGAATGTGTACCTACGAGTGTAAAATCTAAAAGTATCAAATTAAAAATCAATACCTAGTTACGCGGGCAGCACTGCCCGTTATGCAAGAAACATAATTCGAACTTACAATCCTAAATAAACCAGCGAGCTGACAGACTGTTTATTTATTTAAATTAAAACATTTTTAACGGTTTAAAAATCGAAATATATTAGCAGCCGCACTTCGGTAAAAGCTCATATATTTAGCGTTATAAACCGTTCTTTTATTTAAATGTGCTCGCGTAACTACAGACAATATTTGTTCTTAATATCTTACACAGTGTGTTCCGAACAGTAGCCCATACCAATTGTACCAATTCAGTTTGGGAGTTTATCAACGAACAGCTACTCCGTTTATGGTGACTACCGCGTTAGGACCAGTGGGTTCTGGTTCGTATGCCGAGTCAGTATCGCTACGGCGACCATATGCTGAATTTTCAGCAATGCTCCCGCTGTACGGAGAATCGTATAGGTTATCAGTAACATGGTCGTATATATGCCGACCATTTGTATCGTGCAGAGACGCATAGCTCATAACAGCTGCGTTCTGGTCTTCCTTCCTCTCAGCGCCTTCTATGTTCTCTGTGTTCTTTACGGGCGTTGCTTTCCGTCTAAAAGGAAAGATTTAGTGAATAAATATGTCATTAGGTGGAATAAGTAACAAAGTTTTTGCGTTCGAAAAGAAATGTGAAAACCCCAGCCACTTAAAACCTTAACAAGAAGGCCCTTCGCCCCCTTTTTTCCTTTTTAAAACCGGAAAACCCCCGGAAGGGGGGGGTTTGGGGTTGGGGGGGGGTTTTTTTTTTTTTAAATAAAGAAAATCCCCCCCGGGACACCCCGGGTTTCGGGGAAAATTTTTTTTTTGGGGGGAGGGTTTTTTTTTTTTTTTTTTTTTAATCCAAATAACGACCCGTAGATTATTAGCAGTACATTTGACTGTTAGACCAACGAGGCCGTCAAAAGATAAAGAGTGGAAGTTTATGGGTAAGTATTTCTTCTACATTACATTAGTGATATTATTGCATATCTAGTATATTAAAAATTGTTTAATATAACTCACAGTCGTAAATAGATAACTCCCAATAACATAAGTAGGAATAACACGACGCCGCACCCGACGCCGACGCTCAGTGGTAGAGTGCCACTGTCAGCAGCTTCATTCCTGGCCAGTTCACATCGAGGCTCCTCGCCAGACCACTTCCCATCATCCAGGCATTTACGAAGGAACGGCCCAACTCTCTGGTATTGCGGAAGACAGTGGTACTCTATAGAGCTTCCGAACAGCGTTGAGCTATTGGATATTATGATGCGGCCATTTTCCATGTTACCCGGCGACTTGCAGTCGATAGCTGGAATAAAAGAATGGAGTAGTGAGTACATTCTATATATACATAGACTCCTAGATTTATCTCCTTAGTGGCGACTCTATGATATTACCTAAACCTTTTCATACTAATTTAAAATTATTAACGTTTCATCGGAGCGTTGCGTTGCCAGTAAACTTAAAAGACTCTAACGACCATGCCAATGATTATTCTTATTAGCAGACTTAACTCGTACTTCCAAACTATCAGATTACCAGAACTAACATTGCATTTTCAACTCAAGCTTCGAAGCCTGGACCTCATGTCTACAATACAGCTATGAAAAATACAAATTTTTAATATGTGATTACTTACGTATACACACAGGTGGAGCCCCGCTCCACTGACCCTTTGGCATACAAGTCCTCGTCTGGTTTCCTTTCAAACTGTATCCTCTGTCACAGCGGTAGTGTGCTTCACCACCGACGCTAAGAGTTGACGTCACCACTAGCAAGCCAGTGCTGCCCTTTATTTGGATTGATGGGTCGGCGCACGTGATTTCTGTATGACAAATTGCAAATATTATATAACGTGGATCACAAGTAATAAAGAACTAATAACGAAAATCAATTGCGTTTTATCCAGTGTGCTTCCTTCCGTCCATTGACTTGGATTCTTTGGAAGGACACTTTTTAAATATGTGAAATTTTTTACTCAAGGAACACTAAACTGTACTCGACCTTTTTAAGTATTACACAGTCAGAATCGCACAGAATTAATCCGAAACCCGAATTTATTTCCCCATGTGAAATTTCGATATTTTTCTCCAATTTTCCTTTATTAATTTATCCTCCAATTTGATGTCCAAAATTGTCAAGCATGCACAAAAAATATGTCAACGATGAAGCCACAATCCCTTGCTTGTAATTAGCCATACATTGCTACCGTCATCATCAAGCACCATATTAATATACCTTTATTCCTGGTAACCTACGTCTGAACTTTAAAAGTGTAAAGGCTCATAAAAGTACCTTTGCATATAGGTGCTTCTGAACTCCACGTGCCATTGTCTTGACACAATCTTCTAGAAACACCATCGAGCTGCCAATGTTCATCGCACTCGTAGAGCGCGGCGGCTCCATAGTACGTTGCGTTGGTGGCAAGTGTCACTTTGCCATTTTGGAGTCTAGCTGGATTACCACAATCGACATCTGAAATGAAGTCGGTTTTGCGTCTAAAAAAACCTTTGGAAGAGTAATTCAGCAAACTAAATTTTGGGTTAAAAGAAAGAATTAAAAGTATTGTTATATCAGGTTAAATGTTTTTACTTATTTGTAAGATTGATTTCGGTGGATATTCCATATCATCTTATAAAAGGGTTTAAACAACCCGTTGAAATTTAATTGCGCAAGAGGTACATGTATCAATAGGTTGAAAATAATCGACGATGACGGGGGAACTCGTTATACGCACGCTGCAGAGCCGGTTCAAGTCTGCCCGTGTCATATATTTTTATTTAAATTAATAATCGATTTTTAAGCACTTTTATCACAAAAAATTCTAGAGACCAAGACTATTGTTATATTAACTTAAATGTTCTTACTTTTCTTTAAGATCGGTTTGCGAGGGTAGAAACTAAATTATTCAAAGTCGTTTTGAAAAGGATTTAAACAAAGATTTTTACTATACTTAATATCTTAAAAAATATACGAGTACGTTTGATGCATGGAGATCGAACTTCTACTTCAATATGTCGTTACTAACCTAATCTTACAGTGTCTAAACTTTTATTTCTACCTAATTTACATAATATGTTAATGTGTTCCAATAATAAAACAATGTAACCGATGTAATACAAATTTCGAATCGCAACACGTAACACCTTGCTCATTTTGAAATACTCACATTGGCAGCGTGGGGTAACTCCGCTCCATTGGCCGTTATCCTCACACGTGGAAAGGCTTTCTCCGACCACTTTGTATCCTCTCTCACACCTGTATTTCACTAATGCACCTATCTGGTACGTCTGGCGTGAGCTAGCGGATGTACGGATTAGTGTACGTCCATGGATTCGATCGTTTCCGGTCACTGACACTATGCTGTTCTCGGCTACTATTGGTTCTTGGCATCTGATTTCTGTAAAAAGAATTATGATAAAAGAAGGTTGACTAAGAGCGGTAAAAAATCGATTATAAATTGAAAAAAAAAATACGTCACGGGCAGGACTTGAACCGCACCGGCATCCGCAGCGTTCCGTGGTCGCTCTAACCAATTGAGATACCGTCTCCTGTCCATGTTGTAGATTTTTTCAATTTATAAACGATTTTTAATTTATATTCCATCATATTCAATAACATATAAACAATATTAAATTTTTATAAGTATAGATACACTTTATTACACAGTATAAAACAAAGTCGCTTGTTCTGTTGTTAAATCGTTAAACCTACGCAACTATAGAGTGATTCAAGAGAAAGGTTTTTAAATGCCTTGTTCACAGTTTTTCGTTACTGTATTTAGTATAAGTCGGGCAAAGCGAGTCGCTACTGAGACACTAAAAGACAAATTAGTTTTTTTTATCTTACTTTCTCCTTTTATGAACAAATTCTTACAGCGTCATTCATAAAACTTACCTTCACACCTCGGCGAGTACTCGCTCCATTGATAGGTGTCCATGCAGACTCTTCTAACTGGACCCACTAGTCTGTAGTTAGTTGTGCAAGAATATTGTATGATGCTGCCCAAATGAGTGGTATCGTTCACCAGTTCTGCCGTCCCGTATGGCATGGGCGGTAGCTTTCCACAGTCAACGTCTGAAAATTTTATCTCATTTTATATCATAACATACTTACACTATTGAACACTGAGGGACATTAATCAAAAAAAATATTGATAAAAAAACACATAAGTGTACAGTGAATAAAAAATTCTGTTATAGAATACTTTTAACCGTTTAAAACACGAAATTCATTCGGGAATTATTTTGACCATAGCCTAGCGCTTCGTATGGCTGCTGGAGACCCGGACAGTATTTAAATTAAATTAAGAATGAGTTAACTTCTACATTTCACTTTTTATACCATTAAAAAGGTTTTTTTTAACTTTGGTTTTTTTTAAAGGGATTTGTTAATTTATACGTTGTTTGAGTGAGCAATACCGTATTATAATGCCAGGTATCTGTTTCCGTTCATCAAAACCATAGTCCACAAAAGAATGCGTTTTGGTTTCAGTTCGTGGATTTCCGAATATCCAACCCCAAAATGGGCGCAAAAGCCCCCCTTGTTTGGAAGCACCAAGGGGGAGTATATACCCCCCCCTCCTTCCTCCTCCTAAAATAAAAGGATTTTTTTTAACTTACATTCGCATTTGGGCGACTCCCGGACCATTCGCCGTCCGGTTGACATATTAAACTGTGTTCTCCAACTAGTTTGTGTCCTTTTTCACAGTGGAAGTCTATCGTGGAATGCACGTTGTAATCATACGCTTCCATGTACCCACCTGCTGGTACCTCTGGAGTGTCACAGGTTATCACTGAAAAAATAAAACTCAAAAATGAATTGAGGGGCTTATTGGTGTAATGGTAGAAATTATTTGATAATATAAATTGGTCGCGGTAATAGAACCCCCACGGGTCCACCATTTTTCTAATCAATTTATAATTTATCGAGACCTTTTAAATTAAACACTTTCGACGGTTCAAAACGCGAAATATATTAGTCTAGCCGTGTCCACGACTGTTGGAAAGCATCCAAAACGTCGTGTAGTTAAAATAAATTAAAAATAAGTCCACCCATATATTTCGCGTTTTAAACCGTTCAAAGCTTTTTATACATGTGTAGTATTCTCGCAATACTTACATTCACAAGACGGTATGTCATGCGACCATTTTCCGTCCCTGTTGCAAGTTAACATCTCGGCTCCAGCCAACCAATAGTCATTTTCGCAATTAAACTGCGCAAGTGAGCCATATGTAGTGGTCCCATTAAGGAGCCGGAAGGACCCTTTGTATACTTGCGCCGGAGTTCCACAGTCGACGTATTTACAGGATGGAGTAGTACCCGTCCAAACCCCACCGAGGGTACAGGTCACGCTCTGTGATAAATTTATTTGTGAATTATTTACGTTTCTGAGGAAAATATTTGGTAATAATAATAGTTAATAAATATATTTTAAATAGGAAAATAAATGATGAGCACGAGCAAATGGAAAAAGTCGTTGGAATGTATATTTTTTATAGAGCAAATAATAGTTCGGTGTATCTATTTATTTTTCAGTTTGGTTTTGACATCCGTGTTATGTCTGTATTTTATGTTGATTTGTTTTTATTTCCTAGGATATTTCTACATGAGGTAACTGTACTTCTACTACTAGAGTATTCACGAATTAGCAAGATCGCCTCTGTAGCTAGATGGGTTGCTTAACATTGCGTTAAGCACTAGAGGTCATAATGGAATAGTGTATTGTTACGGTCGGCATAGGCGTCTGATCAACTACTTGTAAATATAACCGGTCGGTGAAACGAACACAGAAATTTGTCCGCCTCATCCCCCCTTAAAGGGGGTGGGGGGGGGGTGTTCACAAAGTCCAAAGTACAACTATTAAACAACATGACAGGAAATAAAATCAGTCAGTAAATAAAATTGCTAGGCGAATTACTTAAAATATAAATATAATACTGACATAACATATAAAAATAAGCTACAGTATTAACAAATGCTTAATAAATTCAAACCTGCTGTCCAAAAAGAATAAAGCCATTTTGACAGGTATACGTAGCCAACGAGCCATCTTTGTGGCCGTCAACTGTCACAGTGGCGCTAGCTACCGGTGGCGGATCTGGACACCAGTCGAAAAGACATTTAGGTGCCTCTCCATCCCATACTCCTTCGTCACCGCAAGTTCTCTCAGATTCTCCAACAAGAGTATAGTTTTCTCGACAAGAGTACACCGCTCTAGCATCATGTGTCGTTCTGCTGTCAATTAAAGATAATTCGCCATCTTGGATCGAAGTGAGACCACCGCAGTCCACATCTAAAACAAAAAAGTATTGTAATTTCTACACTTTTGAATCACACTTTTCTTATTAATATGCTTAAATAATCAAACAAAGAGTACGGACAGATATTTATTAAATTTATTTAACGTTTTTTTTATTTAACATGCTCATGATTGTAAATCAATCTACCGAAAAATATTCGGTCTCATTTTCCCCAACCTATTATCAAAAATACAAAGTAACGTATAAAATCCATATTAGTCCGAGTATAGAGAGCACTTTATGAATTCTCTATTGCCTCACTACAAGTGATGGGTACTTATACTGTATTTTTTCTAACTTATCATAAACAGCTAGAGCGAAATCAAAATTTTTTGCAAACAATTCGGGGTACTGTAAGTATGGCTGTTATAATTACTTACATTTACAGCTAGGCGCAGCTCCTGACCAGAAACCGTCCTTCTTGCACTCTCTAGTTTTATCACCAAGAAGCATGTGACCTTCTGGACACTTGTATGCTATAACAGCTCCGACCTTATAATTGTTTCCTTCAATCGTAGTATTGAGCAGTTTATCAGGACTTCCACAAGACGGTGGCACTGTTGGAAATATCGAATTTTAATAAGATAAAGGTTTATAAATCTTGCGCGCGTAGCAATAAATTACATACGAGGCTGTTAGAGGCAAAGCGGCCTAATAACAAAAAACATGATTTCCAATAAGGAGGAAAATGAAAATTGGCGATTGACTTAGACGAAAATGAATTTGTGGTCTTGTAGATTAACATTTTAGACCATAAAAATATAAATAAGTCATAAAATTGCTAGTTAGGCTACTGTGCCTCTAGCGGCCTCATATTAGCTTAGATTTCTAAGATATAAAAAATTCTTACCAACGGCAATTATATTGTTTTGCGATATACTTTCGCTTGGCGCTGTGCGAACAATATGACATTCTCACAGTCCCTAGATTTCCACTTACGATTTCTAACGCATATCTAGTTTCGCTAGTGTAATTTACGATTTAAAATTCGCGACTCATTAAAATTGTTAATACACTAAATATATAATAGCCCTTATTATATTAACGCAAAGCTATTTATATTTATACAATACAAAAAATCTAGAGATAGATATATGAAGCAGTAGAAACGAAAGTCAGTTTTCAATTAAATTTCAAAAAAAACATAACATAGTAAAAATGTATCTCTTTTTTTCTTTTCTTTTCTTTCATAGTAATAATGTATATTAGCGTTACAAGATTTGTGGTAAATTTGCTAACTTGACTGTTACTCAATTGTTTTGCCTTCTCGATACCTCTCCACAAGTACTTGAACCTTATGATTTGATATTAAAGTTCAAATTGACTTTTTAGTAATATTACGAAACGTTTATATAGCAATATAGAAAAGTTCCGTGTTATTTGCATTTTCTTTGGTTACCCTTTGGTTTCTCAGAACCAATCTCAAACATAATAAGTTGTTCTTAAGATTAACGCTTAGCAACACATTTAACAATTAAATTTCAATACTATAAAATCCTCCTTAACTACGCTTCATCTATACAGTATACTTACCAAATAGTCACTTTATAGGCATGCTATAAAGTCTTTGGTTACAATGAACTTAGCTATAAAACAAGGACATGTGGTCTTTTCAATAATTAGATAAAAGTCTTCGGGACACACATACAGACGTTAAAAAAGTCTACATATTATAATAGTCTATGTCTATGCTAATGTTATAAAGTTTGTTTGTTTGGACGCGCTAATGTTAGGAACTACTGGTTCGAATTGAAAAATCCTCTCTGTGTTGTTTGGCCTATGAAACATAAAGAAGAACTAAAAGAAGCGATGAAACAGAAGGAAATGTGAAAATTTATTGTTATGTGAAAAGTTACGTGCGCTGTGAAGACGGTTAAAAAAAAAACAAAAAATATGTATGAAAAAAATACCCACGGCAGTATTTGTCTTTTTTTTAGATTAACTCACTGGCACTACGCGACTGGATGCCAACGTCGTCGTGGATAACGTGACAAATATTTCACATAAATATTGCAAGGAATAATTTGTTAAATCATTGATGTAAACATATTCCGTGTTTTGCGCGAGCGCAGGCCATTCGCATTTGCGTTGAGTAATATTATAGATATGTACCTATCAAGGTGACACTCACGGTACTGGCATATCCAGTGCAAGTAGTCCAAGTTGCACCCAACATCGTTCCACAGCCATGCTCTGCCTCCATCTAATACAGCGCAGTTTTGTTCCCCGTTGTAATTATTCGGTTGGTCCTTTCCCCATGTCGGTTTTGTTACTGTTTCACCTGTAAGAAAGATATAATTACATTTTCGGGCTCGTTGGTAATGTTAGCAATGTATTGCTAATAATAAACGGGTCGTGGATTCGATCCCCACCGGGTCCAACAAGCGTCTAAATAATTTATAATTTTTATGGAACCTGTTCGTCTGGAAATCTGTTTATTAAATGGTAGGTAGGAATATCGAAATTCCGTCCAGGTAACGATTCAACGTCCACAGATGAAAAGCCATCACATTTAATCGTGTTTCGGTTTGAATCTATGGATTCCTGAATATCAAATGACAAAATAGGAGCGCATCTTGTTTAGATGTTACGAGTATATCAATAAGGACGAAAAAACAGTAGAGATAATGAGATTCGGCTTTGTTTACTTAATTTTTTTAAATATATTTTGTAGACAATTAGAGGGAAATGAATCTTGTTTTATTTTATTTATCACAATTTAACAGTCTAGCTGTATTTATTTATACTGCAAACGAACGGTATTGTTTTCGTATTCACCTTTCAAGAGTTCGCTTACGGGGATCTACGGACCAATTAGTGAAGCTGCACGGATTAAATAGACTGTTATTATGTCGATACTGTGTACTTGTTTTACTCCCCTTTATCCGAAACGAATTGTACAGTGAATAACGTTGGAAAAGCGAGCTCGATCCGTTGCCATAGAAACACAAAGGCTTTTGTACGCATTAGTGCGCCGAGTGTTTTTCTATCTGATAAGTTCAAAAGTATTCAAAATCCTTAATTATAAATATACAACAGCAAAATAGGTATATAGGCATCTTGCCTTAATTTTATACAGCTGGAGTGACCTCCAATTAAGCCCATGCTTTACTGTCTTATCACAAAGAAGAGTTTTCTTTAATTTTCTCGCTATTTGTTACCCTACACTATTTGTTAGGGTACGAATTGATTTGTCGCGTCAATTTGATGCTATATGTTCTAGAATAATGATTATTCATTACCTTGATAAAAATGTCTGTAAACTAACCTACAACTTAAAATACTGTTTATAGTTTACGCGAGTAGTACACATTTAAATAAAACACTTTAACGGTTTAAAACGCGAAATATTAGTTAAACTTATTTGAAAATGACTTAACTTCGGCCCGACGTTTCGGATGCTTTGCAGCAGCCGTGGTCACGGGAAGACCGAAGTTAAAAATCATTTTCAAATAAGTTTAACTAATATAACGCGTTTTAAACTGTTAAAGTGTTTTATTTAAGTTACAACTTATCTCAATATATTTAAGTGTACAACAAATATTATTAAGACAATTGTAACATACTTTTTTAAGTTTACTTAAATACGTACCATCAACCCATCTCCAAGTCCTGGAAGTTAATCCTGGGTCTTTCTGTGCCCCAATCCAGACGAGTTGCGTTTTTAATTGAGATTTACGTCTTTCCAATTCTTGTGTGAGATAACTTGACGTGGCACCCTGTGTTATAAAGGGTAAGTATAAATTTAGTGCAATAGTTTTTAAAGTCATTGCGTAAAAACATTGCGCGTATGTTTTATCATTTCACCGCTGGGCACACCATTTTGAGCATAAACCCACGATGCTGTTATAGTGCATTTTGACTACCACTAATTAATAATCCCCAGTGGTTCCAACATGTTTCCAATCAATTCATAATCTTTCTGAAACACGTTGTCATCGAGAGAGCTGGATGTTGAATGGGTGGTAGGAATATCAAAACTCCGACCGGGTCATGATCCACCGGCCACTGATAAAAAGACGTGAAGTTAAACCACGTTTTGGTTTTAGTCTGTCGTTTACCGAATATCCATGCAAACATAAAACGACAGCGTATCTTATTGTGATGTCCTATAGCTGGGGTATTTTACTTTCTATAAAGCGAACGCCATGCTTGTCTATCTTTGTCTATCATGAAAAATTCCTAAACATATGGCATTCACTTGACTTATGTTGTATAAATTTTAATAACAATCAGCGTTATATATTAATATTGAATTTACGTAAAATAATTAAACGAATATAAATAACATTATAAGATATTACACGCTTCCATTGACATTAGTAGAAACGTTTATTATTATAACAGTTTTATTATAATTTGACATCGTTGACATCGTTAACAACTTTGACATCTTTGATATCTTCGATATATTTGACATCTTTGATATCTTTGACATCTTTGATATCTTTGATGTCTTTTATATCTTTGATATCCTTGATATCTTTGATAACTTTGATATCTCTGACATTTCTACATATTTGACCTTTTTGACATCTTTGATATCTTTGACATTTTTGACAAACCTGGAAATCGTGAATTAAGTCTCCTCCGTGAGACTGGCACTGCTTCCTCGCTTCTTCAAAGGACGCACCCTTAGCGACGTTAAATTCATAACAATTTCTCGAGAAGGCAGCTAACTCTATGTCGGCGGAAACACCCGCTGGTGCGCATCGGTCGTTTGAGAATTCTGCACAAGGAGAAAGAAACATCATATTACAAATACAAATTAAAAATCTACACGAATATTATCAAGCTGAAATATACAGCTGCCTTTGTTTGTTTGTTCAAACGCGATATTCTCAGGAACTATTAGTTTGAATTGGAAAATTATTTTTGTGTGGGATAGACCATTTATCGAGGAAGGCTTTAGGCTATATACAATTTAATTTAGCGATCAAAGAGGAAGCCTAAGAAGAGATTAAGAAAAATAGGGTGAATGTGAAAAATGTAGGGAAAATTATTCATCTTTAATTAATTCCTCCTTTTTTATTCATTTCTTTTAACATTTAAAGAAACCATTAAATATGTATTAAAGAATGATTGTTTTTTTAATGATCTCAGAAAATGTCTGTCACAATATATGTCTATCTTTTAAGATCAAACTAGCAATAACGACGGGACGCGGACGACGTCGTGGGCAACAACAATAATTTATAATGCTTAGTAGGTTGTTTGCAAAAATAAATAATATAACGCTCAGAATAAATACTCCACGTGGACACAGCTAGTGATAACCGCATAAGATCTTACCTTCTGTAGTGAAGATTTCCACTTCACATAACGAGAGGGAACCTTCTACTCCAACCAATTGAAGGAATACATGTTGTCCAATAAGCGGGCGTGCGCAAGTAAATGTCTTTGTGATACCTTCATCTGTGAAACAGAAAAACATGTATTAAATAAGAGATTATTCGCTTATTGGCTCGGTATGACGTATTTGTATTTAAATTATTGCTTTGAAAACCTACAGTTATTCCATCTCACAACCAATACTATTTTTTTCATTGATAGAGGAGAACAGAATAAGAAGAAGAGAAGAACCATATAACATCTAAACAAGATGTGTTGTCGACCTATTTTAGCTTTGGATATTCGGAAATAATACAGACTGAAACCGAAATGCGGTTATACTTCATCGATTCATCTCAACAGTAATTTTTTTTTCTATTTTGTATAAAATTTTATTGTATGTATATGTTAATGTATGTATGTATAATAATGTATTAGTCAAATAAACTACAGACAATTCCATTTAATGCCTTTTAGATTCATTAAATCTTTTTTCAAATGTTAAATTTTTGTATAATATGTAATTCTTTATAGCTACGATGTATAAAACCTACTTGGTACTGATGACAAATACGGTCACGAACGCAATAACGCTGAGCAAAGCGACAAATCAGATAAAGTAGGGTTTGCATATTTTGGTTATTCTAGAAAGTTGCATAAGAATGAAATTTGGACCTTAAAGAAATGTCATTATGCAATAATATCGCATATCGCAGTTAAGAAACTGGCTTAGGGCCATTCACTCGTCCAGCCAAGCCAAGGTTAATTCAACAATAGGCTTGGCACTTCCTACACGACAATTAATGTTGATTATTATTGCAGATTATGGCTCCATATAGTGGCGTGCACTGTAAAAAGAAGCCGCGGGCCGTTTGACAAGTAGTGGAGTTAAGGCAGAGTGCACACTCAGACACATATTTTGAACATTAGAGCGATTTTGGACATACAAATCCTTTTTTTGTGATAGAGGATGGCAGATAAGTATAGGATTCACTTCATGGTAGATGAAATACCTCGGCCGTATAACATCTCAACAATATACGCTGTCCACGTATTTTGGCTTATGATTTTCGGAAATCCACAGACTGAAACCGGAACGTAATTAAACTTCGCTTTTTCGTCTATTGACGTTCATGACCCAGACGGAAAATCAATTTTACGAATTATTAAAGATCAGTTTTTTGAAATACTCTTTAATAGTAGATATGTAATCCTGAAATTTAAATAAAACACTTCAACGGTTTAAAACGCGATATATTAGTTATACTTATTTGAAAATGATTTTTAATGATTATGTCTCCCAGCGACCACGGCTGCTGCAAAGCATCCGAAACGTCGGGCCGAAGTTAAAAATAATTTTCAAATAAGTTTACTAATATATCGCGTTTTAAACCGTTAAAGTGTTTTATTTAAATGTGTACTACTCGCGTAAACTATAGACAGTATCCTGAAATTTATCAAAATTTTAGTCTCACGTATTTCACGTTTTATGTATCATCTGTTCTATCAATAAACAGGCGATTTATAATTTCACTAGCTTGTGCCCGCGACTTCGTCTACGCAAAATTAGTATTTGGAGTAGCTTATATTAGCGTGGCGTAGTGAATAACTAACATTATGACTTCAATATGTTTAATTAACGTTTATGGCAGCACACGCCAGAATAGCTCGCAGAAAGGTAGGTTTTTTCCTAGTTACTTGATACTTAATGTCATATTTTGGACAGCTCACACAATAACTTTATAAATTGTAGCCTATGTGTTATTCTGATGGAGTTATTATTGGAAAGTTTAATCGAAATCTATTCAGTAGTTTTTGAGTGAAAGAGCAACACTCCACACATACAAACTTTCACGTTTATAATATTAGTAGGATTCCGGTTTCCTATACTTATGTTTAGACTGTAGTTTACCTACCTATTTGACAAGTATACACACAACATAAATATTCATATAAGCGATCAGCAATTAATATTAAAGAAACAGAAGGAATTATTCTTTTGACTTTACGAGTAGAGTACCTAAGTGTAATTAAATCTGTTTTCGTACTACGTAAGTAGTAAATTATAAAAATGTACAAGCCAATAAGGATCTATACAAATATGTAATAGTTTGAACGCGCTAATCACACTACTATGCACTGGTTCGAATTGAAAACTTATTTTTATGTTCGACAGACCATTTGACGAGAAATGCTTGGACAAGCGGGGAAAATGTTTTCGTAAAGAAAAGAAATATGTATGAAAGAATGATTATCCTTTAAATGATGTAAAAAATGTCCACGATAGAATGTTTTTTAAGATTAACTCGCAAGATCGACGGAACGCGGACGAAGCCACGAAGCGGGCTTTAGCTATATATATAAGCTATAATAGACGGTAAGGTTTAATAGCAGCCCATACTGTTATAAACAAGTACCATCATAATGGTTTAATAATTGTGAGAACCGTTTGTATCGCTAATTGACACCAGTATTACAAAGAATATGTTTGTAGAAAGTGAGTCTAATCTTTACCAGTAAGAGATTAATTGTTCATACCGAGTATAACAGAGAATATTGTTGCTTTCTGTTTTGTGGGAGCTGATATTTTTTTAGATTATTCAGAGAAGAATCATTCTTTCCTACATATATTTTTGATATCTTGAACGATATTCGCGGCGTACGCAAAGGAAACCCTCAAAGATGAATATATTTTTCCCGTTTTTTCTTCGCACCTATTGGTCGCAACACTATATTTTATAATTGCCTTTTTTAATAATTGCTTTATCAAACACAAAAGGAATTTTTCAATTCGAACATGTAGTTCCAGAGATTAGCGCATTCAAACAAACTCTTCAGCTTTATTAGTGTAGATATAAATGAAGCTGTAATTAAAATTTAAGTATTCATAATTGTTAAAAATCTGATATTGTAATTTGCAATCAGCTATAATAATCGCGATTAATTCGCATCTTATTTGCAAAATAAAGCAATTTAATATAAACATAGAGGATGTTGCGCTTAATTTTTTTATCGTTGAAAATCTTAACGTTTAATTGTCTATTTTGACTAACATTCCCAAGAGTTCTTGGACTAATTAGTCAGTCTATGTAACGACTGTGGTGGTGTTACGCAAGTTATTTTGTTTTCAATTATATAATTGACGTTCGAGCACACACAGCGCGTCGCGAACGTCCTAATTATGCAGACGACGACATTTTAACATTATGAATGAACATCGCTGTAAAACCTTATACAGGAACGTAAACAAGACATGTTTCTAGAATACACACATGATAGCACATACAACGGATCACTTGATGCAAAATTTGGCGGACTCGTTGGTGTAATGGTAACAATGTACACCTAAAAGAGATAGGGGCCTAAATTTTGTAATTAAATAACAAACATATAACTTACTATTAACATATTAGTTATAGGTATTAAAAAATGATGTAGAGATTGCTACATTCGATGGAATTTAATATTAATAAAATAATAATGTTGTAATAAAAGCAATACAGTTCGGAAAGGGCGCGGATGGCTGATCTTCCTGAGCGCCCAAAATAAGGGCCATTGAAATAGCGCTAAGGGCCGATCGACCCCAGGAAAGCGCAAGGCGCGTAAGCTCCGTACCCTACACCCTCTAAGTCTGTACGTTTGACACGTTTCTGTACCTTATCAGGCAATTAAAGAGTGAATTTTGCAATCAGTATATAAAATAACAATAAATGTACCTAGTTAATAAAAAGAGCAATTTATTAACGGTAGTGTAGATTACAAAGGCCATAGACAATATCAAAAGGTGTCGTGTGATTCATTAGCCCGCTTCCACACCGGTTCTTGTGAGAGCTTGTGAATACACGATTTCCACTTTCCTCTCATTGACGGTCGCTACTGACGATTTCATTCAATGAAAATCGCGTAAACTAGACATAATTAATGCAAAGATCATTTTTGCACGATTATGATCTTTAGCGCTTGACGTAAAAGTATTCTTTCGGACGTAAAGAATTTTTGACGGGCACATTGTTCTACGGTTAATGTATGGTTAATAATTAACGGGTCGTGGATTCGATCCCCACCCGGTAAAAACATGATTCTAACTTTTCTATTTATAATCTTTGTGAAACATGTTGCACTTCGTCTGGAAATCTGGATATTAAACGGGTGGTAGAAATACAAACCACAGATGAAAAAGCCATGAAGCTCAATCGTGTTTCAGTTTCAGTCTATAGATTTCCGAATATCCAAAGCCAAAATAAGTTGATAGCGAATCTTGTTTTGATGCTATAGGCTGGGGCTATATCACTTATTTTTTAATTAAATTATTTTCCGTCGCAAATAATCTCAAAATTAATCAGCGTTAAGGCAGACAATAATATTATACATTTCGTTTTATGTGTTATCACTATTTTGTTATCACATTGAGTACAAAACATATACAATATGACAAAAAAATACTTTCTATATATTTAAATATAACACTTTAACGGTTTAAAACGCGATATATTAGTTAAACTCCCCGTGACCACGGCTGCTGCAAAGCATCCGAAACGTAGGGTCGAAGTTAAAAATCATTTCCAAATAAGTTTAACTAATATATCGCGTTTTAAACCGTTAAAGTGTTTTATTTAAATGTGTACTACTCGCGTAAACTATAGACAGTATTTACTTTCTATATGTGGTCAACATTTCAACTGCACGTAAATTGTTTGCAGGCATTTATAATATAGTATATCCATAGCGGGTAAACAAATACTTGAGTAATGTTTAGGTTAATGTTTAATAATTTATAGGTTGCTGCATCTGCTGTTATTTAGTACAAGTAAATTGGGTCATTGATGGGCGTAAAGTAAAAGGGTAATAGCTCAGAGATTTTCCGTTTAATCGAAAACTGTATTTGAGTATGTATGTAGAGTTTGGTTGAACGTGATGTAAGCGAAACCGAATTTCAAATATTCGATTTAAGAGTTCCGTGACTACGAGTATACATTTCTTTCACGTACACTATAGTGAATTAAAAAATCATATATGATTATAATAATTCATATTCTGTTTAAATAAAACACAATAAAGGTTTAAAACCTAATATATATTAGTTAAACTTATTTGGAAATTATTGTAACTACGGCCTGACGTTTCGGATGCTTCGCAGCGGCCGTGGTCACGGGGAGTCTATATATCGCATTTTAAACCGTTAAAGTGTTTTATTTTAATGTTTACTACTCGCGTCGACTTCGTCGTACGTCGTACTTCTAAGTACAGTAGAATCTCACTAATCGGAAACATCAACACACTGACGCATCCGGGATTTCTTCATTCCAATCTCGCTAAATGTATTAAGTTATTCTGTGGTAATGCTTTTAACTGTCAGCGATATACCTCAAAACTTAGCAAGTGTACGCTCATACGAGTTTTCCTTCATATACTATAAATATCTTTGATACCAATACTTTTTAACGTATAATCTAGTAATCCGAACAAGATTTTGAAGGTGCCGGATTACTGAGATCCTGTGTATATAAATATCAGTTATGGTATTTGTTATTCCTAATTGATTATGTTTGCACCAAAATGAAATTCCTTTAAAGCGAATGCGAACTTTGGCCTTTGGGTCTGTAAGCAAGTAACGTCGGTAAACCGACAAAAATCAACATTCCAAAGGTCATCGGGGTTTGAATTCGGATGCTTCGAGTTTGGCTTTGAAACGTGAGTTGTTTTCCTTTCTTTATTCAGCAATATTTCAAAGTTTTTGCCTCTGATAGTGGGCATGTTATGAAATCGTCTAACCTTTACAAACGCTTCTATTGCAAATGAACTGAGCGTTCAAGCACCGAAAAATAAAAACCAATTCGAATTGAAACTCGTCATGGCGGGTCGTGAATTTTAAAGAATGTATTTAGATGCTCTATACAGTTTTTTGATTATTCACAAACAAAATTGTAATAATATAAATTGCTGTTGAAAAGCCTTCTAATAGGTAGGATTGACAAACATATATGTTGTGCATAATGCTTTCCGTGTTACAAATAGTTCTTAAGACTTATCACGGTATTCAGCTAGTTACGAGACACTTTACACAGTTTGAACGGAATTAATCTTGTTGATATTTCAAACGCTCTGAACTATAGGTAACAGTGCATCTTAGTATCAAATTTCGACCTAACTTCACAACTGCAAGATAGTTCCCGGGATTAAGTTTTAATACTATCAAGTGATATTTCCTTCATAGCTTTGCGTGAATATAAACTTTATAGAATTAATAAGAGAGTGTAATAGCAAGACTATAATAGTCTTAAATACAAATAATAAAACACATTGACAAAGAGATAACAAAACTAATTCACAAATAATTTTGATTTAAAAATTTATGCACGAGCGCGTTTGGATACCACAACTACAATGTTCCGTGCTGTATTACAATCCGTTGAGCTAGAGTGTACCGTACCTTTGTTCATACTTTTTTATTATTCCACTTCTTTACAATGCTATTTCTATCTTAACACTAATTTACATATTGATATCCTTTGTCATTTTCATTGCGTCACTGAAGATAAGATGTAAAAGTTTATATAAATTTAAAACATATTACAGTGTCATTTTAATGTGAAAATTATAGTTATTCAAGTATTATTTATATGTTATAAGTCGTTACCAAAAGCTTTCAAAGATAGGACAATAATTAATGAACTACTAAAATTATTATCGGCTGCAAGCCAAACTGTTCTTTACCAAAAATAGAAGCGTGTACATATTTTTAAAAATCGAATATATAATAACATTTGTTTACACGTGCGTTAAAAGGGTTTCACGATTGCCTAAAATCATATCATAACTTTATACTAAGTAGATATATACGTGTCATATAGAAGTTCTTAATTCAAAAAAGTACAGTAGTTTTAATTGTCAATTGTAAGTAAATACTATTGTCTATAATTTACACTATTAGTCCAAAGCTAACATTTACTGCTATTTAATAAAGGTGGCGAAGGTGAAATTCCGTTTCCCCCTCGTGGGGCATGGGGCGAACACATTTTTGTGTACGTTTCACTAATCCGTTCTTTAACAGGCAAGTAGTTGATCAGACTTCTATGCCCTGCCCGAACGAAACAACTCTTTGTTTCCCCGGGATTCAAACCCAGTACTACGTTTAACCGGCAGGCAATACGTTTAGCCATTTGGCTACCGAGGCGGTCGGCGGGGCTATTTAAAAGATAATTTAAATGACGGTTTTAAAACGGATATAATTATGTAAAAGAACTGTACTTATTTACAGAATTATTAGCATACTATAGTGTCCTAACATTCCAAAACACTTTTCTTGAAGAATCGAATCTAGTAGGTACTAGGGTTACAGAAATGTAAAGCGATTCAACTGATCCAGCGATTGTAGAGGTTTACGTAACTGTGTACATACATCGATATCATATTTATCAACGTAAAGTTTTAATGCGATTAAATCATATCTACTCACCTATAGTACCAGGGAACCAGGCGCATAGAGGATTTCTCTGAAGGTCTGTACTGCTGTTTCCCACGCGGATCTCCAAATCCTGTAACGGTTGATGGCCTGAAACAGTGAGGAGATTGAAACATTCAATACGTGAGCGGTTGGTAAACACGAAATCTTGTGTACACTATTTGAGCTATGAAAATGTAACCAATATGGGGCACAGAGTAGGGGCGTGTTTATCTTAAAAGATAGACATATAATGTCGCGGGCACTGTTTTAGATCATTGAGGAATCGTTTTATCACACATATTGTTTTTATTTTTCTATTAAACAGCACACGCAACCCATTGTATTTTCTCGAGATGAGGCGCTATTGTATAATAATCAACGGGTCATAGATTCGATTCCCACCAACAGGTTTTCTAATATTTCATTTTATAATTTCTCGGAATAATTTTGGAGCTCGTCTTGACATCTGAATAATAAATGGGTGGTAGGAATATTGAGTGTGTCATCCGGGTCATGAACCACTGTCCACTGAAGAAGAAGCCGTGAAGTTTAATCGCGTTTTGGTTCCAGTCTATGGATTTCCGAGTAAACATATATCCAAAGATAGAATAGGTCGATAGCACATCTTCTGGCGAGCTTCTGGCGAGCTTGTCTGTCCTCCTTTATCATTAAAAAACCGATTTTAAATCTGGTTTATGTTCTTAGCGCTTAGTAGATAGTCGTTCTTCGTTTACGGGCTAACGGAAAACCAATCAGTGTCACACAGATGTATGCCTCATACCCCAACTGGCAGGGGACTTAGTTTGAATGTACAGTCCTTTGTTATCACGTCTAATCGATAAGTCGTTAAGGGTGTAACAAGGGCGGATGCAGCCAAGTCAGGGGAGGTTGTATGGACATGCGAGTGAGATAGCCAATTCTTGTAATTGAATAAAAAAAGCTACACACATATGGTCTTTGTTCCACTCTTAGGTTTATTTAGCCAGTGTGGTCACTATTTTCCCAAGCTAGGAATATAGTTTAAATTTTAAGATAGAATATCCCAGTTTTTTTACAGATCTTGCCATTATAAAAAATCAGATTTCAAATGTCTTTAGTGCTGAAACTCCAGAACAATAAACGTAAAAACCGTTACGTACGTACGTTTTCAAAATAGAAGGCTTCAGTTCGGCCTATTTTGGATTTTGCTATATAAATCCACAGACTGTAACCGAAACGCGATTAAATTTAAACAAAATTGTTGGAGAATATCAAATCCACGACCCACTCACTGATTATAAGTCTCACACCAACGAGGCTGTCATTAATTCGCGATGGACCTATATATCTAATAATCTAGCTATTAAGTTTGGGGTTTACCCTCCCCCCCGTCCACCCTACGTGTATCAACCAATATGCTTACCACAACATCCTCTAGTGGTAACCCTAACGACCTTGACAGCGTAATGGCGCAGTAAGTCAACTTGCCACCATGGCGACGCCTCCCTCTGCGTCTCTGTGCACCGTTTCCCGTCGTGTTCCGTTGTTTTTTCACCATCGTTACCGTTGCTTGCCGAACCGCCGCGGACTGTGGTCGACTGGTTCGCCGGCTTCCGGAATGCTACGTTTGTACCTATAAAAGGATTTGGTTATAATCAATGTATGAAATAAAAAAAGGCCTAAACCAAACCTAAATTCTCTTCAAATCCTAGCTAATCCCTGGATACTTATAGGATTGACACCAATTCATGAACACAATGTTAAGCTTCAATTATGCCTTGGTTAATATATTTCAATATTGTTAGTAGCTTCTTATTATTCGGAACTTCTAAAGATTCTTCAAATGGAACATTTTTAACGGCTTAAAAATACGATCTGACATTTCGGATGCTTTGTAGCAGTCTTGGTCACGGAAGGTCCGAAGGTGGAAGGTGGCCCTAATACATTTTGCGTTTTACACCGTTAAAAGTGTCTTATTTAAATGTGTACTACTCGCCTGAACTTAGAAATTTTTAAGATTTAGTTGAAATAATTCTAATTTACTTTAGATATTAGTGCTTGACAAAAGCACATAAGTATATTCTTTGTCAAACTAAGTATAAAATTTGTATATTGTTATTAATTTCACTTTATTTACATTTCATTAATTTTATTACCTTAGTTTTTTAAGTAACTACTAAACAGTGGCAAGTACAGAAAACTTAGTGCAGAAATATTGCGGCGATGTTATAAGCGATAAAAGCGACCCAAAATTATGGAGTTGCTCGGTTCAGTTGCTCAGTTGGGGGTATAGGAAACGGCGTGTTGGTTTCCTGGGCCGTTCTTGCCCCCTTTTCATCCCAGGCGATTTTTGTATAAATAACGTTCACGCGATTTTCGTATATCTATAGACAGCTTTAGTGTATATTTTTTCTAACTCGAGAAAAGACCATAACAAATATGGCCGATGTCAAACCATAGAGACCTAGATAACCTTTTATAGAGCAAAGTTGATGCCACAGAGATAAAAAAATATCGAGTATATATGGTTCAAACGACTTTAATATTACAAGTCACTTTTATGACGACCCTTATTTTCCTTTTTATAAAACGCTGTTATTTAGCTCGACCCGTACGGAACTTATTTATTTGGGTCAAAATTAGAAATTGACATTTAAGCACCTTCCCACTGTCAGATTGATCTGAAATTTTACACACATTTAGTTTAGATGACAATACAATATAATAAATTCGATTACATTATAATTCCAAGATGGCCGCCGATACAAAATGGCGGATTACATATTTTTCCTTAACCCCCTCAATATAGGTATCAAATGAAAGGGCTACACGAGTAAAACACGACGATTATGTCAAAATTTAAAAATGTGTGTGGTTATTTTAGGTCATTGTTATTTAACTCGACGTTTCTAACGCTTTTTAGTCATCTCGCATGATGACTTCGTCCGTCTTTTATCGTTGACTTTGTTTATATCCCCATCCTTATGTAAATGTAAAAAAAATGTAATCTGTCCGTTTACGTAAATAAATATACATATAAGATATATATTTTTTGAAATATATGAAATTGTGGTTTTACTTCGTGAGTTTTAGGTAGTTTCACAAGTTTAATATACAATTCGGTGTTTCAAAGTGTTTATAGTGTAAATCTAGTAAAAAATCACGCTTTCGTGGAAATAGTGTGTACGTTTCCTGAAAATGTGAAGTTAGACAAAATACACTATACGTATTTATTGCGTATGAAGGAAAAATCTTACCGCAAAACGGAGAATCTCCCTTCCATTCGCCTTTGAGTGTGCATTCCTTTTGATGCCCACCAAATAGTTCATAACCATCATCACACTCGTATGTCGCGAGGGTCCCAGGCACTATGTCATTGCTGGATAAAGTAACCCTCGCATTTGGAGGCACAGCCGGATGACCGCAACGTTTTTCACCTGTGGACAAATAGAAATAATTAAATAAATATAATTAGTATGTACGTGAAAACAATTCAACTTGATTGATGTCACCCGGGATTCGAACTCAGGACCTTTTCTCGCGCTTATCGCAATGCTAGGCGACACCTTTAACCATTTAGCTACAGAAGCGGTCCAACTAAAGATCATATTAAATTCGGCTTTATTAAATCAAAGATACGTATGAACGTACGTAGGAAGTAGATGAGACATCAGTTTTATATTTTTTATATTATACGTTAAGTATTCAAATATATGTATAAGCTTAGACAACCTTCCATATCATAAGGACACGTGTTTTTATAAAAATATTTTTCAATATCAATAATTCAGGGCAGTATAACAATATTTATTTTCAAAGCATTTTTAACTTTCCGTCTATTTTATACAACAATTTATATGATGCACACTTAAAATCTAGTAATAAATAGAAACACTAAAGTAGTAGATAAACAATTAAACTGCTTTTTTAATTTTAAAGTAAGAATTCCATTTTCATTATTCAAAAGTTAATGCCGATAAGCAAATATTGCTTTAAAATATCCCGAACGATGAGACCGTAATTTAAAAACGTATTTTGAGGAAATATTTATAATCTGGATACTATAACCGACCGTCTTCTGTAACCTTTTCAATCTTGAGTAAGCTCCAAGCATGTCCATTAATTATTATAAATATCTATATTCAAATGCGCTTCATTTCACCTCTTCCGTTTACTTAATTAAACTATTTTCACAAGGATATTGTTTCAAAACTTAGCTGTAATGTTCTATATTTGTTGCAATAGATATAATAATTTATTTTGTTGCCTAACCGAAATGCAACTAAAATATCAATGAGAGATGAAATGTATCTATCGGTCCTTTCGGAATTGTTATATAATAATCTGCATAAATGGCCTATATATGTACTGTACTACGTAATCGGCACGTGTTCTGCCTAACAGAGGCGACGGTGTTGCCAAAATACGAATTTTTATTTGCACAACAGTCTTGAAATGTAAATTATGCCTTCCGCAAGGAAATACATAGATTCCAATCGTATTTTACATCGCTACGGAAGAGTTTGTTTGTTTGTTCGAACGCGCTAATCTCAGGAAATACTGGTTTGAATTGAAAGATTCTGTTTGTGTTAGTTAGATCATTTATCGAGGAAGGCGAAGAAACAGCGGGAAATATGGAAAAACAGGGAAAATTACTCATCTTTGTGAGTTTCCGATCCACATCCTGTAAAAAGGGTTTAAGATATCCAAAAAGTATGTAAGAAAGATTAACTTGCAAGAACGACGGGACTTGACTGACATTGTGTTTAATCTATTAAAGTTAACGAGGTGATTGTTTGCAAAAACAAATTTAGATGCCCAAAATAACTATTCTAGGCAGACGAAGCTGACACATCTAGTATTGAGAATACGGAGTTAAAGATTTTCTTATAAAACCTTTCTAGAAGTTTCTTCGTTTTAGAGGCTGTTTCACGTATAAGTTATAAGTGTATTTATATAAATTATGATAGATACATTAAAATATACTGTCTATAGTTTGCGCGAGCAGTACACATTTAAATAAAACACTTTAAGGGTTTAAAACGCGATATATTAGTTAAACTTATCTGAAAATGAAACGAAACGTCGGGCCGAAGTTAAAAATTAATTTTCAAATAAGTTTAACTAATATATCGCGTTTTAAACCGTTAAAGTGTTTTATTTAAATAGATACATTAGTTATAATAATGTTATTAACCAGTCGGTAGTTCTATTTGGACATTTCATTTAATAACAATATAAAACTTTTGTTCGAGACAAAATTTGACATCACAATTTGACTTCTTTGAAATCTATCTTCCTAGTGGTGAATTTGACCTAACATCTATGATTGTGAATTATTAAATCTGATCTCTCGTTGCAGGTTACATGCTCAAGCACGGCTTCGGTTACAACATTTGATTAAAAAGAACGGGGTCATTTGGCTCACATTTAGAAGTTTGGACTCCACTACACAACTGCTCGTGACTAATTTGAAATGAACCGCGACTAAAGGATTTCATAAGACAATGCACCGTAGCGCATATGGAAGGTCCAATTTGTTACAAGTAAGTAGTTGAGACGTCTAAAATCTACAACACAGCAAGAGGATACGTATTTAAAGGTATCCTATATACAAAGTTCGATAAACCCGACTCACAGCGATCTAAATACAAAAATTCGTTGAGTCAGATTGAGAGGGCAGACAAAGGCATGGGCAATGTGCATTATAGGCTACGGTACAATAAATGTGTGTGAAATCCCGATTCCCCCTCGTGGGGCATGGGGCGAACACTTTTTTGTGTTCGTTTCATTGATCAGTTCTTTGACAGGCAAGTAGTTGACTTCTATGCCCTGCTCGACCGAAACAATTTTTTGTTTCTCAGGGATTCGAATCTTCTCTCGCGCTTAATACAATGCTAGGCAATACGTTTTTTTGCTACATAGGCGGTCTGGAGGAAGATAAATGTAGCGGGTTTGAATTCCCGACAAAATTTGCCTTTTACGTTAAAACATAATAAAAAAGTCAAGTAAAGTTTGACGTTAATATTCTTTTTTCAAATGTTATTTGCAAAGTATTTTTTTAGCTATTAACCTGTACTAATATTCAAAATATTTTTAAGTGTTGTAAAACCTAACGACAATAGTTCGGTCCGTTTTGTTTGCTGGTCACGTCTTTCAACTATGTAAGAGTATTTCTTCACAGTTCTGGCTTTGAATAAAAATTCTTCATTAAATAGCTACGTACGTAACAGTTTGATGAAGGACTTACAAATGATGAAATGTACTATTTTTTTTATAGGGTACAATTTACGAGATTGTAAACTCCGTAAAAATCCGCATTGAAGCGTCAATTTGTTTGACGTGTAGTAATTTTATAAGCATTATTATTTTTTTAAACAGGTTTTATTTGTAGTATATGCACTACGCTTTAATTTAGAACAAATTATTAGATTGACCCTGTGTACTCAAGCAGTCGAAACAAACTCAAGTAATAGTTAATTTAAACAATAATTGTTATGTTTTAATCAATTTAAAAAAATATTTTCTTTATTTAATATATCATTCAAGTCTAGTGTCGGGAGTATTTTTCTTTGTTTAATCGCATAATATACTTATTCTTGAAGAGTATTTATGGAACACCTACTTATCGCGTTGTAAGTGCAGCAAAACTAGATTCTTTTCTAATTTAGATTTACTACTGTAGCGCGTCTCATTTTATATTTTTACATCTATCAAAGGCTAAGTCGGAGAAACAAATTAAACTTTTCTTATTGACAGCGGCAAACTCTACCTATCTGAAGCGAAAAATAAATTTTAAATATAGAAAGTAGAATTTTTACTTAAATAAAAAATAAGCAATTTAAATGATTTCCATTAATTAAATATTGATTTGGATTTAAAAAATGGATTAGCAGTACCTAGATGCCGGGTCAAGTCCCACCCGTGCTAAGTTTTTTTTTCAATATAAATCGATTTTTAATTCTAATAAAGCCATTATGTGCAATAATAACATGTTAAAATAAAACTTTTCAAATCAAATTTTATAATTTAACTTTTTTATGAGAATCAATATTCAGCATTCCATTTAAAATCAAATCAACATTGTTAATACAATTGATCTGTATTGCGAAATAAACTAACGTTAAAAGTTCAATTGCACAAACAGTTTACAAAACTAAGTGAATGTTATTATCAAGGCGAAACATTTATAGTTCCGTGAAATGAAATACCCAATAAAATACAATTTTGCTCTCGGAATATCCTGTAGGAGTAGAGATTACAGTTCGGAATTAATAAACGATATAGCGTTTCATAATTAAGGTGAAAGCCAATAGTAAAATCACTGTTGTGCGAACACGATAAATCTCCTCGTGCTATTGAATTTAAGTTACAGTTGAAAGATTACTCACTAATTTGGTAATTGAGTTCAATTACGTTATTCTAATTCTAACAGAGGTTAGATATAAAACTTAAACATAGAAATGGCATTTGAATATCTTAAAAAAAAAAACAGTATTGTATTAACTATTCTATTTATAAACCACACACTGTAGATATCTATACGTAACAACAATATATTGAAAAACGACCTAAAATCCGAAAGGTTTAGAACAAAACTGTGCATTCCATTTTCAACGTGTAAAACTGTTTGTTCAATAACAACTCCCTTCTATTTTCACAAAGCAAGACCTTACATTCCATTTTCAAAATATCTGCGTTTCTAAGATCAAGTATTAGGTTACGAGTGTGCGGTATTCAGCACAACTGACGAGGTCGGCGTATTCCTAGTGCGTCCGAGATGCCACGCGGTAACGGTCAGCGATTGTTCTAAACACAAAAACCCATATGACGAAGTGTATGCCCCACTTACAAGCGTAAGTACGTACGCACCTTGTTTAACAACGTGGTAGAATATTTTAGGGCCAAACATTTGACATCAATAATTCCTTAAACAACTTATCCAGATTCGTTCATAGGTTTTATTTGAGTTCGACCAATATCAATCAATACCTTCTTTTAGTTCTGTTATGTTCTGTAATGACTGGTATTATGATATAACTTAGAAATGAAAGTTAATTATAAAAATTGAGACCTGAGTTACGTTTTTTTATTTCGAAAGAGCTACACAATATATTATTTAAATCACACAAACTTGTGAAACTACTGCGTGATTTTTTCATATAGATTAAGTAGATTTTGCGTAACAAGATTTTATTTAATTAAGTCACTTTTAAATGCAGACAAAGTCGCGTCCAAAACTCGTACAGAAGTAGAATAATAGCAATATAAAAATAAGAAAAGTACTTGTAAAATTAATCTCATTAAGTCTCGGTTCAATCCGAGACAAAAGTGTTATATAAATGCAAAAGTTTGTAAAAGATCACGGATATATTATTGTATTCTTTATAAGAATATTTCTCGTCCAGAAAAGTAGTTAGTATAATATTTGCGGGTT